TGCTCTGGTCACTCAGGGAACAGAAAACTACTCATCCAGTGACCAGTATATTTGCCCTCTACCAGACTCCTGTACCCCACTGGTCTGGGTCTGTCACATGACTTACTTTCATCCTTAAAGAACAACCCTCCATTTTTTGGGACCAAATACTTTACAAGCTTGAAGAATTTACAAATCTGATTGATCAGCTGTGATACTATATGAAATAAATCCACTTGTTCTTTTACAGCCAGTTCTAAAAAAGAATAGAAGTTACATTGGAGTTATTTAAATTGTGAAACACAAACCAGAAGGTTTTAGCTAGATCAACAAACAAAAAAATTTGCTGTGGCATTATGTTGCAGCATTTTTATACACACTAAATTAGGGAATTAATTTCATTTTCCCCTATCTTAGGGATAGTGGGGTTCTTGGATCTTCTCCTCCCCCCCCCCCCACCAACATACACACTTTTTCAAATCAGAGGGATTACAAAAGATTAGGGGGAAGAGTTTTTTTTCTTTTGTTTTTCAGTCAGTTAACTATTACCATTGATGCAAAAAAAATTTTGTTTAATTTCTTTGTACAGCTGAGCCAATAACATTTATTAGTGAGAAAATGACTTAGGGAAGATTCAAGAAACAGACTTTAGTACTGATTCATGTTGCGTTCCAGTAATCATAGTTCTCAATCCAGCTACTGTAGTCTCAATTGCTCTGTATTTGAGTCCTTAGCAAGTTTTTTTTATTTTTTCACAATCTGCTCCTTATTCTGTTAATTTAAATTTATATTTAGTCAATCCCTTCTTTATGCTGTTATTCCAGAATATCAGGTGCCAAAGATAAAAGTAATGATTTGCATCCAGTAAACATTTTTGTTTGTTTGCTTTTTAAGCAAACCTTTCCATTCTGGGCTATTTTAATCTGTAGGAACCCTGCCTACACTGTTTGATCACCCACCTAACTTTTTTCCTGTGATCCTCAATGACTTCAACATGCTTTTCTAGAAAACTGTCTAGAGAACACAAAGGATGTCTTGTAATCTTCGAAATCTTTTGTGATATGTAAAGAGGCTATTGATGTTTGTTACAGAATATGCTGAGTTCCTACACTGCAAAGGGAGGAAGTTTACAGATTTTGATGAAGTTCGTCAAGAAATTGAAGCAGAAACAGACAGAGTGACCGGACTGAATAAAGGCATTTCTTCAATTCCTATTAATTTAAGAGTGTATTCCCCACATGGTAGGTAACGTCATTCTACTCTGTATTCATGTAACTAATATTATATATTCTGTTTGTTCTCATTGCTTGACCAAAAAATTCCAGAGAGACACTATTGCTAAAATTGACTTTGAATGAAAGTTTTGAGGATGTATAATTCATGTAACAGTATATGTTCTGAAAAGGCTTCCTTTTGTTAGATTACTCCCTTTCCTGAACTTTCAACCCTGTCTATGCGAGGAAAGTGACATATTGTAGACAATGGATTGTCATCAACTGGCATAGAAAACAGTTAACAGTGCAGAGGACTAAACCATTTTAATCCTCATTGAAGAAAACTGGACTTCAGATGATCATCATATGCAACCCAGTTTTCAGACAGGCTAATTTGGACATGAAGCCACATCCACAGACGCACTGAAATTTCCACTATAGCATGAAAGCTACATCCTCTAATGGTATTACAAACTGCATGAGGTAGACACGTATCCTAAGGCAATACACAGATAAGTTTTTATAAAAGTTTTGAGTAATCTGATGAAACTGCTTCAGTTTCAGCTAATTCTTAATTTGTTAGATATCACATGTTTAGACATACTAGAATATAAGGAGTTTATGAAAGCTGACAACTCTGCCTATGTTGCTTTTGGGATATGCATCCCTGCTTTGGTATTTCAGAATAACTAGTGAAAAAATATTGTTGTATTTCTTCTCCATTAACCTAGATAGGTCAGTTCTATATGAGATGATGAAGTGCAAAATTGAGTCTGCATTTTTAAAATAATAATCATATGATCTCCAGATAACCTCTCACCTACCTTTAACAGAATTTTGTATTTTTTAACTTTTTGATCCGGAGATCCTGAAGCACTTTTGTAAATGTTAAGTATTTAGCTCCATTATAAATTTGTAGTTGTTGAAAATGTCACTTCGATGTCCCAAGACAATGCCTTTGATCTACTCAAGTTTTGATAAACTTAGGCATCGTAGGACCTTGTTGTTACAGCAGATACTGCTCTTGTTTTAATATTCTCATCAGTGGGGGTGTGTCAAGCTGCTCTATGTGGCATGGTTGCCACCAATATAGATCACATAGCATTAACTTCTCATGCGTCAGGTAGCTGGCAACCAATCGGGAGAAAATATGATTCCCCAGTTGTTTTCTCTTTTGCACATTAAAACAACGTATGCTGTTTGCTGAGGTGCCATTTTTTCTGTCTGCATCAATCCATATCATCTTGATCATGAACTGAAGAGCAAAATAATAGAAGTAGGGGAGGATAAGAAGAAGGTGCTTTATCTATAATCGATCTTTTCAGTCTTCCATAGTGGGTTCGTTCTGTACTTGTGGCCCTGGACCTTGCTTCAGTCTTGTGTGGGCCTGCCATAGCCTGTGGGAGCAGGGCTCAACTGCGTGACCGTGATTCATAGCTCCCCAGTGGAAAAAGCTGATTCTTTGGATATCTAGAAGAGAAATCTGAGCAAGAAGAAAGTTGGCTGTTACCACCCAAGGAACAGATCTTGGAGTCACTGTGGATAGTTCTTTGAAAACTTCTGCTAAATGCACTGCAGCAGTCAAATAGGCGAACAGTATTCTAGAAAGTGTTAGGAAATGGATAGAAAATAGGATCGAGAATATCATAGTGCCACTATATAAATACATGGTGTGTCTAGGCCTTGAATATTGAGTCCAATTCTGGTAGTCCAATCTCAAAAAGGATATAGTGGAACTGGAAAAGGTTCAGAGAAGGGCAACAAAGATGATCATAGATGTGGAACAGCTTCCATATAAGGAGGGGCTACAAAGGTTAGGGCTGTTCATCTTAGAAAAGAGACAACTTGGATTCATTAAGGGCAAGTCATGCCTGACCAACCTGATTGCCTTCTATGGTGAGATAACTGGCTCTGTGGATATGGGGAAAAGCAGTGGACGTGATATATCTTGACTTTAGCAAAGCTTTTGATATGGTCTCCCACAGTATTCTTGCCAGCAAGTTAATGTATGGATTGGATGAATGGACTATAAGGTGGATAGAAAGCTGGCTAGATTGTCGGGCTCAACGGGTAGTGATCAATGGCTCGATGTCTAGTTGGCAGCTGGTATCAAGGGGAGTGCCCCAGGGGTTGGTCCTGGGGCTGGTTTTGTTCAACATCTTTATTAATGATCTGGATGATGGGATAGATTGCACCCTCAGCAAGTTCGCAGATGGCACTAAACTGGGGGGAGAGGTAGATATTCTGGAGGGTAGGGGTAGGGTCCAGAGTAACCTAGACAAATTGGAGGATTGGGCCAAAAGAAATCTGACGAGGTTCAACAAGGACAAGTGCAGAGTCCTGTACTTAGGATGGAAGAATCCCATGCACTGCTACAGGCTGGGGACTGACTGGCTAAGCAACAGTTGTGCAGAAAAGGACCTGAGGATTACAGTGGATGAGAAGCTGGATATGAGTCAGTAGTGTGCGCTTGTTGCCAAGAAGGCTAACGGCATATTGGGCTGCATTAGTAGGAGCACTGCCAGCAGATCGAGGGAAGTGATTATTCCCCTCTATTCGGCACTGGTGAGGCCACATCTTGAGTATTGTGTCAGTTTGGGTCCCCCCCACTACAGCAAGGATGTGGACAGATTGGAGAGAGTCCAGCGGAGGGCAACAAAAATTATCAGTGGGCTGGGGCACATGACTTACGAGGAGACGTTGAGGGAACTGGGCTTGTTTAGTCTGCAGAAGAGAAGAGTGAGGGGGGATTTGATAGCAGCCTTCAACTACCTGAAGGGGGGGTTCCAAAGAGGAAACTGTGAATAGAGAAGTGTTGTTTATTCTTTAATCCAGTACAAAAACTGGGGGTCATTGAATGAAATTAATAGGCAGCAGGCTTAATACTCACAAGAGGAAGTAATTTTTCACATAGCTAACCTGTGCAACTCATTGTCATGGGATATCGTGATGGCCAAAAGTATAACTGGGTTAAAAAAAGAACTGGATAAGTACATGTAGGATAGATCAATCAATGGCTACTAGCCAAGATGATTAGGGATGCAACCCCATGCTCTGGGTGACCCTAAACCTCTGACTACCAGAAGCAAGGAATGGAAGACGGGTGGATTACTCTGTGATCACTCTGTAATCACCCTGTTCTGTATGCGCCCCCTGAAACTCTGGTACATGCCTCTGTTGGGCAAGATGGACCCTAGTCTGACCCAGTATGGTATCTCTTGTGTTCCTATGGGATCTTCTACCTGGAGTTTTGGTGTCTTTCCAGTGGGGTAATCCAGTGGGCCAACTCTCCCATCCCAATTTTCTGGCTCCCAGCAGCTGGTAAGCTCACTGTCTCCAAGTTGATCCTATGGGAGGGGTGTGTAGTAGGATCAAAATATGAGTATGCCTTCTCTCTTTTTCTCTGCCACACACACATCTTCTCACTCTGATAATTTCCTGCCCCTGTGAGTGGTCAGATTAGGTATGACAGAATTCCAGCTCCTGCAAATATTGTGGCATTGATGCATGCTCATCTGATTGGGCCACACTGCAGTGGTTTCTTACCTGAACCTTTGGGGGGGGGGGGGGCGGACAGGAGAGAAATGTATTGGCCTTCCTTAAGGTACTCACACTTCTGTTCAAGTGGGCTGAGGAAAAACCCGGGATCTTTAAAAGCTCTGCTTGTTTCAGACTTACTCGTCCTTTAGGCATACTGATTAAGCAGGGCTAAAATACACCTGGGAGAATGGGAAATCACAAAAGTGTTTGAGTGACTTGCTTCCAAGACATGACTGTCAATAAACCTGTCCACTCCTATCTCTAATCACCTGCTTTGCAGGTACGGATGTCTAAAAGTCTTGTCTTAAGGTCTTTTATTTTTGCAGTCTTCTGGATTTGGGAAACAGCCTGTGCCATCTCACCTCTGCTCCTAAAATGGGTAGTCATAAAGAAAAAAGATAGACATGGATGCTTCTTGATCCTAACTGCCCAAATGTCTGAGAAATATTCCGCACTTCTCATACAGTTGGACGTGCATGTTGGTGTTGGTTAGTGCTTTTGCCATTTATGTGAAAAAGAAAGTGGAAGTTAGAGGCATGATGGGCAGCTGGGCCCACTGGGTGGGGATAGGAAGTTCTGCCTGTCGCTATGTAAGGAATCGGCAGCCCTTAAAGCTCTTCAGTGATGGCTCATCCTGACTCATGCTGGAGGCACAAAATACAAGAGTATGAATCTATTACAACTTTTTACCTGTAAACTTTCTCAGTAATCTTTATCACAAGCTTTCTAAGGGAGAAAGCTTCCAAGTATTTCCTCTTCCGCTAAGTCCAGTCCAGCCTCCAACTTGCTCCTCGGCCAGTTTCCTCAGATCGCTAAAACTTCAGAATCTTTCCACTAGAACAGTGGCCTCCATCTTGGGCCAGCCAAGGAGAAAATTCCATTGTAAGCTCTTTAGAGCCATCACCTGTTGTGCCATCAACACATTCCTTAAGCACCACTGCCTGGATCCCAACCCATCAGCCAGCAAAGTTTTCTATCAGTTGGTGCTTCGGTCAGTTCTGCCTCAGAAATCCAAGAGCTGCTTTTCTCAAGGAGAGTCAGTGTAAGCTTTTAGAGGCTAGGCTGGATCTTGTCTCCCTCCCCTTCCACCTCTGCTTGGTGCTCCGGTAGTTGCAGGGCACTGCTATTTAGATTCGTGGTCTGTACCAGGGACAGTCATCTCACAATAAAACAATTTTTTCATACCTGCTAAATGTTTTCTATTGTGGGACTCCACCAGTATAAACACGTGCTCAGGATGCTCCAGCTGCGAAGGAACTCAGAAAAATAGCTAGAGCTTGGTGTACCATTTAGATTAGCCCTGGATTTTCAGTTTGGGAAGCTGGCAGCTGAGAAGCCTGCTTGGAGGATGATCAGATGAGGACTGTGTGTGAAAATTAATCTTTCAGATGGACTGCCACCTGACTAATTGATAGGTAAGATGGGAATGTCCCATGGTCTCTATTGATATTGGCACACCATGGATAAATGGGAGAAAAACAAGTTTTACTTGCCCTAAGATCCTAATCAGTTGCACATAGACAAAATGGGAAATGACTGCCTAGGAAGGAGTACTGCAGAAAGGGATCAGGCCCTGTGGGGGTCATACTGGATCACAAGTTAAATATGAGTGAACAGTGTAACACTGTTGCAAAAAAAGCAAACATCATTCTGGGATGTATTAGCAGGAATGTTGTAAGCAAGACACGAGAAGTAATTCTTCCGATCTACTCCACACTGATTAGGCCTTAACTGGAGTATTGTGGCCAGTTCTGGGTGCCACCTTTCAGGAAAGATGTGGACAAATTCTGGAAAGTCCACAGGAGAGAAATAAAAATGATTAAAGGTCTCAAAAACATGACCTATGAGGGAAGATTTGAAAAAAAAAATTGGGTTTGTTTAGTTTGTAGAGGGGACGTAACAGTTTTCAAGTACATAAAAGGTTGTTACAAGGAGGTGGGAGGAAAAATTGTTCTTGTTAACCTCTGAAAATAGGACAAGAAGTAATGGGCTTAAATTGCAGCAAGGGCGGTTTAGGTTGGCCATTAGGAAAAATTTCCTAACTTTCAGGGTAGTTAAGCACTAGAATAAATTGCCTCGGGAGGTTGTGGAGTATCCATCATTGGAGATTTTTAGGAGCTGGTTAGACAAACACCTGTCAGGGATGGTCTAGATAATACTTAGTCCTGCCATGAGTGCGGGGGACTGGACTAGATGACCTCTTGAGGTCCCTTCCAGTCCTATGTGCCAACATGGGCACAACTCTTTGAAAATTCTGCCTTTAATGTTTAATTATGATCTTACAGATATACAATTGGAAGGTGATTATGCCAAACAATGTAATTTGTAGGTTGTGACAAGCAGTTCCAAACTGGAACAAAACCAAATTTCATAATGTTGAAATCTTCTGTGACATGGAATTGCCAATCTTGGCACAGCTCTAGTTGTGTGTGCTTATAAAATAATGTTCAAAAGCCTTTGAAAATTGATACGTCTACAGTATTCGAATTATGGCTCCCCCTAGAACTTCAGACTTGGATCATCTTTTTATTCTCTTTAGGTGTGTAAAGTGTTAACAACAAGCCTTTTGGTCTTATGCTCTTTCTCTTTAGTGCTAAGCCTGACCCTTGTTGATTTGCCTGGAATCACTAAAGTGCCAGTAGGGGATCAACCTCCAGATATAGAGCAACAGATCAGAGACATGATTATGCAGTTCATTTCTCGTGAAAACTGTCTGATCCTGGCGGTGACTCCAGCCAACACTGATCTTGCCAACTCAGATGCATTGAAGTTAGCTAAAGAAGTAGACCCTCAAGGTAAGTGTGAGTGGATGTAAACCTTTCCTGCTCTCAGATACCATTGATTAAAATATATCTTGTAGTTTACTGTGGTGAATCATGCATTTAACAGTGCAAGAAAACTCATTACTCATAACTAAAAATTTTGTACTGATTTCAACATCAGAAGAATAGGAATTCTGTGCATGCAGCATAATTCAGTAAATTGTATTATCAACGGAAGTCTAAAAGTAACCAGTGTATGGTAATTTGAGTAAAGTATGAAATATACCTAATTGGAAATTCTTGTGACAGGGCCTCTGCCAGCTGAGGGGGTCTGTATCGCATCTTGTACCATGGGGCCTTGATGCTAATTGGGGTGCCTGGGTGCTACTGTACTATAAATGTTAGAATGATGTTTGTTTTCTTGGCATGCCTTGCTTACTGATGTGACTGTGTAATAAATCAACACATACAGCAGGAGTAAATGCAATTTGTCTTGGCAATGTAATAACACAGTGGTTCTCAACCAGGGATACACATACCCCTGGGGGTACTCAGAGTTCAACAAGGGGTTACATCAACTCCTCTAGATATTTGCCTAGTTTTACAACAGGCTACATAAAAAACATTAGCTAAGTCAGTACAAACTAAAATTTCATACAGATAATGACTTGTTTATACTGCTCTATATACTACACACTGAAATGTAAGTACAATATTTATATTCCAATAGATTTTAGAATTATATGGTAAAAATGAGAATGTAAGCAGTTTTTCAGTGCTGTGACATTTTTTTGTATTTTTATGTCTGTTTTTGTAAGCAAGTAGTTTTTAAATGAGGTGAAACTTGGGGGTGCACCAGAGAAATTAAACTCCTGAAAGGGATACAGTAGTCTGGAAGGTTGAGAGCCACTGTAATAACAATGTGCTGCCACCTGGTGGATTAGAATTCAAGAGTCTGACGTGGTAGAGTTGGGAGCATTCTGTATTACTGCAAGAGGCCCCCACTCCCCGCCAATTCAAAAGAAGTGCTGACAGGCTCAAGAGAGCCATGTTCATCTTTTGCCTGGTGGGGCTATGACTACATTACCTTGAGAGTGAGTAATGCAAATTTAAAAAACAAAAAAGTGGGTGTGGAGTCCAAGAGGGGCTTGATGGACTAATGGGAAAGGCTCTGTTACCACAGTTGGAACTATAGTGCTAGCAATCAGTGCTAGCATGCAAGCTCCCTGCCTCGCTATCTGGCACACCTTAACTGATTCCTGTACCTGGCTCTGCGTATGGTCAGTAGGCCCAAACCGACTTCTGCTATCTCATTTATCAGCTGTTGGCTCTGTGCATGTGGGTGGTGGATGGACACTGACTTGGCTCCGTGCTCCCACCCCACCCTGCCCCTGGGTCTGGAATGGACAGGTGTTTTTTATTTTTTTATTTTTTTTTAATTAAAAAAACAAAAACAAAATAAAAACTAAAATGACAGATTAAAGATGCAGTTCTCTTGCATTAAACTCCATTGCAGATCCATAGGAATAGTGAGAAAATACTCAGTTCTTCCCTACCAAGTAAACTCAGTATCAGAGAGTAAGGTTTAATTGATTGGTTTTCCTCATCATAAATGATATTTCACTATTTTGTGTGTGTGTGTGTGTGGGGGGGGGGTGTTTGGTGATGCAGGCCTGAGAACCATTGGTGTAATCACAAAACTGGATTTGATGGATGAAGGAACTGATGCAACAGAGATTCTGGAGAACAAGTTGCTCCCTCTTCGTAGAGGTAAGAATATTAAACTCCATGTATCAATTGCTTCTGTAGCAAAGTGGCGATAAGGAAGGTAGACATTTGGTAAATTAACAGAAGATTGGTTTTAATGGAGTGCTCGGTTAGAAAATCTCTGCAGCTAACCTTCAGATTACAGTAGAGATTGTGCTCATAGCCTTTATCATCCCACTAAGCTGTGAAAAAGTAAATGTAAGAGGAGATGGTGCCCAAAATACACAAGGGGGGGGGGGTATCAACTAAGACCTCAGAACAGGCTGGATGAGGTGTAATGAGAAATATGAGTGTAAGTTACCTGCAAATTTCCTTTTCTGTGACAATGTGTGTTGTTCCTCGCAATGTGTGGGAGTGCCTTGATGCAGTCTGGAAGCAGCCACTGGATCTTTGATAATGTCATTGCAGTCTAAGCTCTGCCCCTTTCCAAAAGCTTTTCAGATGATCGTTTATAGAGCTAGAGAGACATGTTCATTTCCACTGTTAGAATAATACAAAAGTAATATTGAAATCTAACCCAGTTTCACCAGGTAGATCAGTCCCCTTTTTCTTTTCTCAACACCCCAGAAAACAAACCAGCCAGAGAGGGATCAGACCAGAAGACAGGAAAGTCAATATCAAGACCTCCTATTTTCTTATCCTGTTTGTTACCCTTCTGCCACATCCTCCTCTTATTCCCCTGTGGCGTGCAAGTCACGCTTGTTTTGCACATCCCTTGGAATGCCAAATCAGTGCAAGTGATATTGTCTCCCCATTTAAACCTGCTTTCTGACCATCTTACCCCCAATATTTAACTTACACCACCATTTCAGTCATCACTGAATTTGAATCAGTGACTTCCATGGAAGGTGTGCCCACATACGCTAAGCCAGGCTAGCATGTACACTGCACTGTGGGGAATAACAGCATTGACTTACAGGGTTGTTTTGATCTCATTTTAGGGTATATTGGAGTTGTAAACAGAAGTCAGAAAGACATTGATGGGAAGAAGGATATTAAGGCAGCCATGCTGGCAGAAAGGAAATTCTTCCTTTCCCATCCAGCTTACAGGCATATGGCAGACCGGATGGGAACACCGTATCTGCAGAAAGTTCTAAATCAGGTACAAGCAAATGTGAAAGTGTGTGTGTGTGTGTGTGTGTACAGGACCAGTAAAAAATGCTGTATTAAAATCACTGAATCAGGTGCATTGCAACATTCTTTCCTGTTTATAACACTGTATTTTCCGCAACATATCACAGGCAAAACAGTGCATTATGTATGAAACTCACTGCAAGGAGTACAGGAATCAATCTCCCCCACCAGTGTATTGCAGGAGTCACTCTGTTGAAGTCAGTGGAGTTTAAATCATTGTGCTAGACATACATTACCAAGAATGGTGACCCTTTTGTTTAAATTCATTCCCACCTCTTTCATGTTACTCTCAAGCATCAGAACATCACTTGGACTCATTATACTGACCTCTGGTTTTTTAAGCGGCCTAGCTTGAAAACATGACTCATAACACATTGTGTCAAGTATCAGGGGGGTAGCCGTGTAAGTCTGTATCTACAAAAACAACAAGGAGTCTGGTGGCACCTTAAAGACTAACATGCCTAAATAAATCGAAGCTTTCGTGGGTAAAAACCTCACCACTTCAGATGCATAGAGTGAAAGTTACAGATGCAGGCATTATATACTGACATATGGAGAACAGGGAGTTACTTCGCAAGTGGAGAACCAGTGCTGACAGGGCCAATTCAATCAGGGTGGATGTAGTCCACTCCCAATAATAGATGAGGAGGTGTCAATTCCAGGAGAGGAAAAGGTGCTTCTGTAATGAGCCAGCCACTCCCAGTCCCTATTCAAGCCCAGATTAATGGTGTTAAATTTGCAAATGAATTTTAGTTCTGCTGTTTCTCTTGGGAGGCAGGCCAGTCCTCGCTTACAGACAACCCCCCAACCTGAAGCAAATACTCACCAGCAACTACACACCACACCACAGAAACACCAACCCAGGAACCAATCCCTGTAGCAAACCTCGTTGCCTACTCTGTCCCCATATCTACTCTGGCGACACCATCAGAGGACCCAACCACATCAGCCACACCATCAAGGGCTCATTCACCTGCACATCCACTAATGTTATATATGCCATCATGTGCCAGCAATGCCCCTCTGCCATGTACATTGGCCAAACCGGACAGTCCCTCCGCAAAAGAATAAATGGACACAAATCGGACATCAGGAATGGTAACATACATAAGCCAGTAAGTGAACACTTCAATCTCCCTGGTCATTCTATTACAGATTTAAAAGTCACTATCATTGAACAAAAAAACTTCAGAAACAGACTTCAAAGAGAAACAGCAGAACTAAAATTTATTTGCAAATTTAACACCATTAATCTGCCCAAATAAATCTGTTAGTCTTTAAGGTGCCACCAGACTCCTTGTTGTTTTTATAACACATTGTGTGATTTAAAGTTCCCAAAGAAGAAAACTCTAGGCAGTCCATCTGACCCTAGATAAAGAACGCATTTGCCTGTCTCCCTCAGTGTGTAACTTCAGGTTAAGGATTATATTATGGCACTAGTCACAACTGTGTGTAAGGGGTAATATGGAGCTAGAAGCTACCCCAAGGAGGGCTGTGGGGTGGGTTGGGGGGGGGTGGTTGGAATTGTCCCCCCAGGAGACACAGTTGCTCCATGGAACACATTGGGTGCTCATGCTGCACCTTTGTTTGGTCTCTGGGGCAGTGAATAGGGGTGCATGGTCTTAGCTCTGTCTCCTCATCTCCATTGAGGTGATTTGTGACCCCAAGGGAACACAGAACAGTTCTTGTGATTGGTTGAAGTCTCTGATGAATATCCCCTGGAGAACAGCATGGTAAATCACACCTTCCTCCAGCTGGGAAACTAGAGGCTGATCCATTTGTCACTCACCTGAACAAGAAACTATCAATGTACTATTCTGCCAAGGGATACTTTTTCCATCCACAGTGGAGGGGAGTCTGGAAACCGTTTACCACTGCCTCTGGTAGCAAAGGTACCGACCAAGCTCAGGGGGGGCCAAGGGTTGACTGAACTTGATAACCTTCTTTTGGCTGAGACAGATGGTTCTCAGCCCAGCTGTGGATGATATTGGCTTATCCAATGGAATGGGAACCAGACAGTCTTTTGATAGTGTAAAATTCCAGAGGCATGATGTTTCTTAGCAAATGTCTCAAGTCTTCCTGGTTTATCCGAAAGAGTCTACTTAAAGGGTTTAAAATCATAAAGGTTTGTTATTTGGTGTGCGTGGCCCCACATGGATCCCTTTATAACTGGTCACTTCCTCCGGGCCCCATCCTTCCCTTTCCCCCAAAATTCAACCAAACTAATTGTCTGCTAGATTTAAAGACCGATTCCATTCTTGTTCATTTTGGCAATTCTCTTGGACTACCATGAATTTGTTGAAAGGTAAACTAAGTCTCTCTTCAGCAACTTGTTATCGGGCTAATGTGGGCATATTGAATTTGACATCCCCTATTTAAAAAGTCTTGTATTGTTGGGTATTAATATAACCCTGACAAAACTGATGGTGCCTCTTTTTGAGCAACTCATTTCCTACGAGCTCAAATTTCCTATATTGGCTTGTTTATTTCCATGTCTATGCCTCTTAGGTATACATTAAGCATAGGAATGGAAATAATCTTGAGAAAGTTAAGGAAGAATAGTGAAGGGTCATCATAGTAGGGGACGACCAGCGATGAGATAGATGGATAGTCACTGGAAGGTTAGCTGCTGACAGTTCCAAGTTAGTGATGGATCGTGAAGGCTTCTGAAAATTCTGCTATGATGTCACCGATATTCAGGCATGAATAAATTGATTTATTACTTGCTTAATTCTGTTGGCTTGTAGAGGGTGAGTGAACTACAGATTCTAGTGACTGATCGACCTCATACCAAGTTTAAAAAGGATAAGATGATGCTCTGAATGCATCTCTAAATTCCTTATTGAAAGTAGTGTCAGAGTTCCAACGTAATGAGCTGATCATCTTGCCAATGTTCTTCCCACTTCTGCTTGCTCATCTCGTTGAAACTTTTACCAGGTTTAGTGTCACAAGGTTCTTGGCTCTTTATTTAGAGAAGAATAAGGGCCTTAGAAAGTCCACCTGGTTCTTTGTTTCCTTTGACTTCAGTTAACAGGTGCCAGTAACTGCTGCTATTTCCGAGAGGAACAAGAATAAATCGCTGGCACTTCTCACTACAGTGACTTGGCAGGCCTGCAATCTGATGGCTGTGTTGAGGCATGTTCTGTTTGGGTTAGAGCAACCTCTAGAGAGGAATACCAGGTCAGTTTATCTGTGATACAGAGCCTATTTCTGAGGCAGGGTGGCAGAACTCTCATGCATCGTACAGGTTTGCTTTTGTTTGGAATGTTTTCGTTTTGGTCACTTTTGGGGGTGTTTTTTAGGTTAAAATAGTTAAACTTCTCATTATTGTAGGGAGGTATCTTATCACTTCCAAATTACTTTATTTTACTTAGACGAATTTTAATTAATTACTGGCGAGTTGGCTACTTTACAAAAACACAGTCTGCTATTCCCGTCGGTATTCATTGTTGGACTTCTGTGGGGTTTTCTTTGAATGGAAGGGGTTATGCTGTCGGGGGGGGGCGGGGCTCCGCTCTCCCCCCGGCGGCCAGAGCGCCGGGGGCAGGGCGGCCAGCCCGCTCTGCCCCCGGCGGCCAGAGCGCAGGGGGCAGGGCAGCGAGCCCCGGCAGGGGCTCGCCTCTCTCCCCCGCCGGGGGGAGGGCGCCGGGGGGGAGGGCGGCCAGAGCGCCGGGGGGAGGGCGGCGAGCCCAGCCGTGGCCCCGCTCTCCCCGGGGGCCGGAGCGCCGCGCCGCCCCCCTCCAGGTGCCGCCCCAAGCACCAGCTTGAGTGCCTGGTGCCTGGAGCCAGCCCTGTATGCTGCAGAGATCCATATAAGTACCATTCATATGAAGCATGTTGTTATTACACGTGCTGGTGCCTGTGCTTATCTGGTTGAAATTTAAATGTCTCTGGATCCACAAGGTGGTGCTCAAATGAAACTCCAGAGTGTGATTCTATGGGGAAAATAGCTCATTGAACTCTGTTTACAGGTTTTTCTGAACAATAATTTATTCCTGGTTTGTTTTAGAGGGAGAAATAATAGGGGATTTATTTGTAACATAGATTCAAAAAAACCTTTTGTCCTTAACCAATGAGCTGTGGTTATTTGTGTATGATCTGTTACATCTTTGTCCATTAAAAATGGAAGACCGCCCCCCCATCACTTGGGCAAATAGGAAATGCACTAGTAACTTCTCTTGTTAGTAGCTTCTTCTGTTGGGTGTTTATAAAATTAGGACATTGAGATACAAAATCAAACCAAACTTGCACCTTTCCAAATTGCTAGATTTGGTGATGTTTGGAGTGTGATGAGAGGTCAGTTAGTGTAAAGATGAAAACCAACTGAAGTAATTCTTGACCTTTGCCAGATATTGATTGGACATTATATATAGCAACCACCTCCTCCTTCCTGAATTTTTATCCATCTTTGTGCCCCTGAAGCCAGTGCACTTTACTTTGTGAATACAGTATTGTATTTATTTGTTTCATCGTTACTATTGACTTGTTTCAGACATGCCCCAAAATGCATTAAAATATTTTAAAAAATCCTTCTTCTTACAGAGCATCAAAAATGTGCTTGGAACTGTACAAAACAGAAGTGGCCCATGTGGCCCAATGAGTTTACAGTCTAATTAGACATTGATAGTACAGGTCTTACCACAGTACACATGGAAACTATAAATGAGCAAAGGTCAGGCCTTCATGCAGTCAGTGAGTTTTGTTTATGAATTTGTTTTCGCCCTTTGCTTCCTGCTTTTCCACTCTCCAGTGCTTTCAGGATTACCAATGAAAGTCAAGATAAAGTGATATAAGGCAAGATTTTTTTTCCATATAGCTGTTGGTACTAAAAGCATCTAAACTGTATGTTAGAATGCTTTCTCTTCACCCTCTCCCCATGTTCTGTCTGCAGAAGTGTGAAGTGAAGACAATGTGATAGCTCTATACACTGGCAGAGTCTGTTTCCCAGTGTTCTGTTCCTAGCTCTGATGCTGCAGAGCCTTGCCTGCATCCCCATTCTCTCCTTCTCCTTCTTAGCAGGCCCAAATATAACTGCAATTCACACCTACAGTCACACTGGGAAGGGTAAGGAGTGAGGTGGTGCTGCAGTCAGGGATGGGCATTTGTTTGATCTTTTAGTGTTTTATACTTTCCCCCCAAGCCCCTTTGCCCCTCCTCACTGGTTGCTTGACTTTGCCTTGAGATAGGTAGGGCTACCATATGTCCGGATTTCCCCGGACATGTCCGGCTTTTCGGTCTATAAATAGCCGTCCGGGGGGGATTTCTAAAAATCTAAAAATGTCCGGGATTTCCCCCCGGTCGGCTATTTATAGACAGAAAAGCGGCGGCCAAGCGCCGCTGGGCAGCCAAAGCCCCTTCCCTGCTCCCCCCCATCCCCTGCAGCCTTACCAAGCCATCCGGCCCCGCAGCTGTCTTCCCCTTCCTTTCCTCCCCTGAACGCTCCGCCCCCCTGCTCCTTCCCCTCCCCTGCTTCCCGCGAATCAGATCTTCGTGGGAAGTCTGAAAAGAAGCAGGGGCAGGCGGGTGGCAGCATCAGGTAAGCTGGAGCTGGGGGGGGAGGAGAGCTCCGGGGAGGTGCGGCCCTGGCCGAGCGGCTCCCTCCAGCCCGGGCCGAGCGGCGCCCAGCGGCTCTGGCCCTGGCCCCAGCGGCTCGGGCCCGGCTCAGGCCCCGGGGCACCGGCCCCAGTTCCGGCCAAGCACGCCAGCCCGGCCCCGGCCGAGCAGCCACTCCGGCCCGGCCCGGGCCCCAGGGCGGCGGCCCTGGTTCCGGCCGAGCGCACCGGCCCAACCCCGGCCGAGCACCTCCGGCCCGGCCCCAAGCCCCGCAACCCCGGCCGGAGCACAGCCCGATTCCTGGGCTCTTTAAAGCCGGCCCTGGTCAGGGGACGGAGGGAGGGTTGGGGGTTCTGAGGGGGGCAGTTAGGGGGTGGGAAGTGGGAGGGAGTGGATGGGGCGGGGCAGGGCAGGGGCGGGGCTAGAGCGGGGCTCCTCCCCCCCCAGTGTCCTCTTTTTTTGCTTGTGGAAATATGGTAACCCTAAGATAGGGGTTGAGGCAGTCTTAAAGTGTGCACTCGAGTAACACTTTAACTGCTTTTATCTGTTCCCATTGTACTAACAAATCCATCTGACTAGGCAGAAGCAACATACACAGTCTTTGTCCTTTGTTTACACATATTAGTATAAGATATAAGAGTATCAAAAAGTCAAACCCAAAATTCTATCCCAGGCTAACAAACAGACCTATATACTAACACTGTAAAACAGTGGTGCCCGCTTTAGCCTGAGGGCCAAACGTTATCTTAAAAAGACCCAGAGGCTCCAGTCAATGTTGGGGCAGTTCCTCTGCCCTGTTCAGTTCTCTTTTCACAAAGGGAGAAGAAACCACCTACAAGTCTTCTGCTAGGGGACAGGGAGCTATAACTTGTGGCTGGTTCTCAGCTGCTTCTTTCTTTCTTTCTTTCTTTCTTTCTTTCTTCTGCTGCCCTGTGTGGGGTAGGGGAGCAATCCTCAAATACACGCTGTCCTAGGTTCAGAAGGAGCCGATTGAGCAGCTATCCTGCTTTCCTTGAGCCTCCCACAGCCTGACAGGGAAGGTGTTGATGGAGCAGAGCTGCTCCCAGGGCTGGGCTGTAGGAGAACGTGCCCCTTATTTCCTCGCTGTAATAACAAGGCTGATTCAAATACTGTCTAAAAGTAGCAGGGTGGGGTTCAAGGAATGTGGTTGTTTTTTTCAGTATATACAGATACACATCATCTTAACACAGCTCTCCTCAAAGGCCCCAATTCAGAGACTTGAGGGCCGCAAGTTGGATACCAGTGCTGTATATATGGGTAAATAATGCAATCGAGACTCTCCAATAGTACAGATATGGCCTTCTGGGAGAAAACATTTCAGTGGAGTAGCCAGGATTTACCATATTGTCCTAGGAGCAATTTGTGCATTTCCAAAACCCTCCGGTAGGGTTGGAGGTGGCTAGAAAGAACATGTTCAAACTGTGGATGGATTTGAGGTCTTTGACCATTACTTGAAGGGTCCATGTATGATAGAGTCATAGAATATCAGGCTTGGAAGGGACCTCAGGAGGTCATCTAGTCCAACCCCCTGCTCAAAGCAGGACCAATGCCCAACTAAATCATCCCAGCCAGGGCTTTGTCAAGCCTGACCTTAAAAACCTCTAAGGAAGGAGATTCCACCACCTGGTCTACACTGGCCGGGGGGGGGAGGTCGACCTAAGATATGCAACTTCAGCTACGTGAATAGCGTAGCTGAAGTCGGCGTATTTTAGGTCGATTTACCTGGCCGTGAGGACGGCGGCGAGTCGACCGTTGCCACTCCCTCGTCGACTCTGCTTCCGCCTCTTGCCGCGGTGGAGTTCCGGCGTCGACAGCAGAGTGATCGGGGATAAATGGATTCCCGATAGATCGATCACTACCCGCCTATCCGGCGGGTAGTATAGACGTACCCTTAATAACCCATTCCAGTGCTTCACAACCTTCCTGGTGAAAAAGTTTTTCCTAATATCCAACCTAAACCTCCCCCACTGCAACTTGAGACCATTACTCCTTGTTCTGTCATTTGCTACCACTGAGAATAGTCTAGATCTATCCTCTTTGGAACCCCCTTTCAGGTCGTTGAAAGCAGCTATCAAATCCCTCCTCATTCTTCTCTTCTGCAGACTAAATAATCCCAGTTCCCTCAGCCTCTCCTCATAAGACATGTGCTCCAGCCCCCTAATCATTTTTGTTGCCCTCCGCTGGACTCTTTCCAATTTTTCCACATCCTTCTTGTAGTGTGGGGCCCAAAACTGGACACAGTACTCCAGCTGAGGCCTCACCAATGCCGAATAGAGAGGAATGATCACATCCCTCAATCTGCTGGTAATGCTCCTACTTATACAGCCCAAAATGCCGTTAGCCTTCTTGGCAACAAGGGCACGCTGTTGACTCATATCCAGCTTCTCATCCACAGTAACCCCTAGGTCCTTTTCTGCAGAACTGCGGCCTAGCCACTTGTTCCCTAGTCTGTTCATGGGATTCTTCCATCCTAAGTGCAAGACTCTGCACTTGTCCTTGTTGAACCTCATCAGATTTCTTTTGGCCCTATCCTCTAATTTGTCTAGGTCCCTCTGTATCTTATCCCTACCCTCCAGCGTATCTACCACTCCTTCCAGTTTAGTGTAATCTGCAAACTTGCTGAGAGTGCAATCCATGCCATCCTCCAGATCATTAATGAAGATATTGAACAAAACTGGCCCCAGGACCGACCCTTGGGGCACTCCGCTTGATACCGGCTGCCAAGTAGACATGGAGCCATTGATCACTACCCATTGAGCCTGATGATCTAGCCAGCTTTCTAGCCACCTTATAGTCCGTTCATCCAGCCCATACTTCTTTAACTTGCTGGCAAGAATGCTGTGGGAGACCATATCAAAAGCTTTGCTAAAGTCAAGGAACACGTCCACTGCTTTCCCCTCATCCACAGAGCTAGTTATTTCATCATAGAAGGCAATTAGGTTAGTCAGGCATGACTTGCCGTTGCTGAAGCCATGCTGAATGTTCCTGATCCCTTTCCTCTCCTCGAAGTACTTCAAAATTGATTCCTTGAGGATCTGCTCCATGATTTTTCCAGGGACTGAGGTGAGGCTGACTGGCCTGTAGTTCCCTGAATCCTCCTCCTTTCCTTTTTAAAAGATGGGCACTACGTTAGCCTTTTTCCAGTCATCCGGGACCTCTCCCAATCGCCATGAGTTTTCAAACATAATGGCCAGTGGCTCTGCAATCACATCCACCAACTCCTTTAGCACCCTCAGATGCAGTGCATCTGGCCTCATGGACTTGTGCTCATCCAGCGTTTCTAAATAATGTAGTATACTCGTGAAGTGTCTTAGAATGTATGATTATAGTACAACTAGCAAAACCTGCTCAGCTGCTTGCCTCGGGTGAGTAGAAATTTGGACCCTGTAAATCGGCTGTGTGTGGCTGGGATGCTGCTGCCTTTTTGGAAGAGCAGAAAGGAAAGGAACAGAGTGACCCAGACACTGTCATCCCATAACAGGAGGGAGCAGCAGAGCTGTTTGCTCTTTTTCGGGGGACGAGGGGAAGAGAGGGAGTAGTGTCGCTAGAGCTGCTAGGTTTGTTGTCCCCAACAACTGGATGGGACATCAGTCTGTGGCTTACTCCCCATGAGTCACAGATCCTTTAAAAGGGGAAGTGGAGCAAAGAGCAGAGGCCCTAGGTAAAATGGAAGAGTTGGAAAACTGAGGGTCTGCTGTGTGCCTGAGAGAGTAGGCCGCAGCAGTAGAGAAATCCTGCAAAGGGAGGAGAGGGGACAGCATTGGTTGATTGTATAAGTGGCATTCTGAAAGGGTTAGAACTGAATGTGGAACTGTGCCGCTGTCAATTAACTATGCCTGGCTTTTGTTGGTGTAGCTGAGCAAGTATTTTTTACCAAGCCTCACTTTAGTGTGGCTCAACTGTGTGTGTGTGTGTGTGTGTGTGTGTGTGTGTGTGTGTATGAGGGGGAGGGATGTCAGGTAATTTTTCAAGCCTTGATTATAGTATGTGTACAAGAAAAGAGGCTCTTGTATTGCCTGTGGGTATACCTGTCACTTCAAAGATCAACATGAATTCCATTGGAAAGCCTAGCACAGGTCATATTTTCTTGTGTGTGGCTATCAAAGGGAATGGGCTATATCCTTTCCATCCATCTGTCTTCCCAATGTTTAAAGAATTCATTTTATTTTGTAGCAACTCACCAATCACATTCGAGATACACTGCCAGCCTTCAGGAGCAAACTTCAGAGCCAGCTGCTTTCTATAGAGCATGAAGTAGAGGCATATAAAAACTTTAAACCAGAAGATCCGACTAGAAAGACTAAAGCCTTACTGCAGTGAGTGTCCACTTCCTCCTCTCTGTATGTAAAATAGTTTCTCGCTTGTTTAAGCTTAAAGCTTAGGATGTTGATGTTTCCCAGTAAAAGGCAGATGCAGAAGGACACTTATACACTCTGCAAACTCCAAAGAGGTTATTGTGGCTGAAAGAATTATAATATTTTTAGCCACTTTCCATTTTAGAAAGATTTTTCCATAATTCATTTTAATAGTCATATAAGAATATGCTGGGCTGGATGAAAATCTTTTTGTTTTGTCCTACGCTGAGCATTATAATCTTGGGCTGTGGTTTGTGTACTCTGCGCTAAACTGGAACCCCCTGGAATGCCCGGTGTGGTTCAGGGAACCTTTTCTCACTTTTTAATCAAAAATACACGTTTTCTTAACATAGTTGTCTTTGCGTCAACTGCTGTTTATTATCATAGGGTTCCCTCATGGGACTCTATGTTCAGTATGAGTGCCAACCTATCTGGACATTTATATCAAGCCATACATAAAATCTAATTAAAAATAGCTGGTGTTTTTAAGAGAGTAAGCAGTATATATTTATAAAAAGACTTGAAAAACCTTATACTTGCTTGTGTCCGTTAGGAGTGGAGAAGGACATGTAGGTACCACTGTTAACCCTAGAAATATCATTTATTGGTAATAAATACAGTGAAATAAAAATGATATGAAAAGCTTAGCTTATGCATTGTTGAGTTTGTTTCTGTTTTGAACTTTAAGGATGGTTCAACAGTTCTCAGTGGACTTTGAAAAAAGAATTGAAGGATCAGGGGATCAAGTTGACACATTAGAACTATCTGGTGGTGCCAAAATCAATCGTATTTTCCATGAGCGTTTTCCTTTTGAACTAGTAAAGGTATGTGTCTGTCTTTCTTCCTTGCTTTGAGTTGTGTTTTTATATTTTCATATTCATTTTTATAGTGGCAGTGAAGTTACATTTCCTTTGAAGGTGTTCTAACAGGAAAACCCTTAATCAGAAGGAGTAAATTACACAAAAGGGCAGAATTATCACCAATACATAGGAAAGAAGTTTATTTTTATTTCTGGTTATGAACACCAAGTCACAATCTGAGATTGTTGTTGTATGCAATATTCAAAACTCAGTCATAATTCTACATTATTTTAAAATGGCTCAAATGTTTGCTTTCTGTGGCTTTAGCAAAAACATTTCCCCCTTTGCTCTCTAATTTCTCAATTTCATTTCCAGTATTCTTCCAAATTTGTAATGAATCAATCTTATTTTGTAACCAATATTTTTGTAACTACATGTCTTCTTGTACATACCTTGCAAAATTAGTCTTGGTAGAATTCAGCTGTTACATGTGACATCTTACATTTCTCTTTCTGCATGGATGAATGTCAAAACTAGTGGTCATGTTTTGATATTTATTCATGTCTGTCTCTTTTCCCCAGCTCTTACTATTTTCCCTACCTTTTCCATTGTTCTATCACCGTTGGCTGCTCTCCTCATCTTCTTTCTGGATAGATGGGGGCAGGTAAACAACTGCCTCTGATGTAACTCAGATTCTCTTCTTAGTGATGAGTACTTAGGTACCTTTTTAAAATTAGATCTGTGGAAAATAGCTATTAGTTTCGAGCTTTTTTTTGCCAGTTTGGTTTAGGGTGCAAAACATGCAAGCATTCATCCACAGGTTGTAAAAAAATGCAGGTTTTGTGTTAGAAAACTTTTTCTGCCTGAGACACCCTCTCTGCTCTTCTGCCAGTCCTACAGATAAGCCGTGTGTGTGTGCGTGTATCAGACTAACAGAATTTTAAAAATTAAATAAATGAAACACATTTCTCCTAAGGTGACCATCCCCAAATCCTACCATGAGTGTGTTTTGTAAACCCTGGTCTCTCTGGTTGTCTAGTAGGATGTTCTGCAGAATTGTTAAAAGCATTTGTGTATAATATGATTTTTATCCTTTGGTTCCTCTAGATGGAATTCAATGAGAAAGAACTGCGGAGAGAAATAAGCTATGCAATCAAAAACATACATGGTATCAGGCAAGTGCTTCCTATTTCTCCAGGTTCAGACACATCTACAGAAAACATAATCTTGTTAATCCATAAACACACTCATCACCTTCTCATCTGCCCGGCGATTGATTTAAAAAAAAATATATATCTCATGCCTGCATTTTTAACATAGCCATGAGAGTGGTGGCTCTCATGTCCACTAATTTGCATGGAGATTCCATAAGTCCCAGACAAATTTGGTGAGATCATGTACAGAGCAAGTCAACACAGTTCTTCTGGTTGTGCTGATCGCTGCTGTTAGAGCACCCACATATAAGACAAGATTTTTATGCAGCACCATGGCTGATGGAATTTGTTGATTGATGGATTGAAGGCACAAAATTCAGAAAAGAGAATGATTATCAATCATTTCTTTGCTTGGCTTTAGTTGCCTACCATATACATTCTATATCGAATGCAAAAACTATATGAAATGGACACTTCTGGGTTCAACCCAGACCAGTAAGGGGTTGTCACCATGTGCCCTGTAACCATGGGTGCCTCTGTGCTGTGCAGCTGTGGCTCGGAGCCCTGATACCTGCAGCGGACTCACAGCACAGTAGCCTCTCCGTGGCTTTCACCAGCCTGGTTACTCCTTGAAGGGTAACACCAATAGCCCTTGTAGCCATGTTTCCCCCAAACGGGTTTCCCTGTAGTATCCAGTCCCTCCCACTAGAACATTCACAAAACCTTATCAAGTTCTCCTCTCCTTTAAAGAGACAGTACACAGCAGTCTATTAGCTTACCTGAGGTTCACACCTTCCCCTTCAATCACAGCACTGAGTTGGTTTATAGTGAAAGTAAAACCAGTTTATTAATAAAAGGACATGGGTTTAAGAGATATCAAGTAGAAGGAATAAGCATAGGAATGATCACAAACAAACAAAAGTGAAAATATGCTATTAAGACCGAAACTCAACAAACTAGAGTCTTTTGTTCATATTCGTTTTTTCACCATAGTCCTTCTTCCAGCATAGTCCTTAGCCAGGATCCAAACACAGTTCACAGCGCTTGGTTTCTTTGTGTCCGCAGGTGAAGGATGACGTAGTGGTTTACTCCCCCTCTCTTTATAGCCCAGTAAACCTTTGAAATGTATTCTTCTGAAGTGTACCTCCAGGTAAAGTTCCTTTCCCCTGCTGGGTGTAGACGCCATGCTGGTTTCTCCCCAGCTGGTGATTTTAACAATGCAAATTATCTTCCTGCAATCTCAAATTTGTAATCTGAACATGTGCATTACATCATCTGCTTTCTGGAGTGTTCTGATCTACAGCCGGGTTGTGTGTGCTGTTCATGAGTGCGGATGTATATAAGCAATTCTCAAAGGAAAGAAAAATAGTTTTGTTGTTGTTAAAGGAATGAAATTCTAATCAAAACAAAATGGTGTTAATGTTTTCTATCATTTTCTTTTAAAAAGTCTAGGATAGCACTTGGGCTTATCACATATTGTGCCGTCCCCACCCTCCATACATTGGCATTATGGCTAAAGAAATAGATAGTTTAGGTAAATATTTTGCTTCATTTTTAAGGGCAGCCACTATAGGTTGAACATTTCTGTGACACATTGGCCCATTGGTGGTTCACTACTCTGTCAGCAACTCTTGTCAGCCCTAGCATGCTCAGTGCACCTCACATACTGTTGTCATGGTATTTATCCAAAAGGTGGCATGTAAGAAATCATTGGAAAACTAGTAATATTCTTGCATGATGTATGTACATTTAATTACAAAACTTATACTCTACTTACATCATGCAAGAATATTAATGATCAGTGAATTATTATTTTTTGATTTATTATAGCCCACTTTTTGGATAAATATTATGACAACGGTGTGTGAGGGTGCACTGAGCAAACATTAACAAGACCTTTAACACAGTTTAGTTTTGATTAGAATTTCATTCCTTTAAAAAAAAATCCAAAAACTATTTTGTCTCCATAGAAAGCAGATAAGGTAATGCACGTGATCAGATTACAAACTTGATGCTGTTTGGAGCTTGGTATGTAGACACTACTGAAACTCAGGGTTGTTAGAATTTGGGATGTTGATGCTGTTCCAGATGGATTGAGCATTTGCCACCGAAGGCTGGCCGTCAGAAGACGTAGGCATCATATGTTAAGGATTTCAGTGCAGGATTGGTTCAGCATTGGCACAGACACTGACACAAAGCTTGTCAAGCTTGTTTCACAGTATATCATGGATGCTTTCTGGCTTTGCTCTATTGAAGTATTCATATTTATGCCTCTTGAATCATGTTATGATCGTGGATCTGACCATTTTCCCAAGGTGCTGAAGCTCTCTAGGAAGATGAATTCTGGAATATACAAATAAATATTCCCATATGTGTTCTACTTATTCCAGATTCTTCATCATTGCATATCTGTTCAGCCAGTGAAGGTTTCATATTTGCTAATTATGGGCAAAAATGAGCAAGTGCATCCAAAGGTATATAGGAGGATGGAAACCCAATGGCCAAGAGATTGCATAGGCTCTACTGGTACCTTTCTGCCAGGCCTTGATGTATTATTGGGCTCCTTCCTGTTGATGAACATTTGACACACTTCTATATATTTGTTTGTTACTACCCACACTACTCATGAAGTCTCAATATATCCACCTTTAATTATGTTTATTGGTCTTATGAGTAAAGGAATATTCCAGTAATCCTTCCTGGGAACATGATTCACAGGGTTTAATTCTCTATGACCTTGTGTAGCTGACACTATCTTGGTCCACACACTGGGGATTGAACTGGGAAACTCCAGAGCTAAAGGCATGAACTGCTATAGTTTCCGCTAAAGATCTAAGACTGTAGCTGGGCATGTAACAATGTAGCCAAGGGCTGTAACAACTCATTTTCACAGTTTCAGGGTAGTTGCACCTCGGGGGCCTGTTGAGGGCACCCACTTAATAGCTGGGAGCCAGAAACCTTTGCCTCTTTTGGGCTGAAACCCACAACTCTCTCCCTCTTGACTGGGGTTTAAGGCTGCACACAGGGCCGTCCTTACCCATATGCAAAGTACGCAACTGTGTAGGGCACTAGGAAATTTGGTGCACCAAATTTCCTGGTGCCCTGCTCAGCTGTGTGCTGCTCCAGTCCCTGCTCTGCCTCTTCCCCATGGCCTCCGCCCCAGCCCTGCCCCACTCCACTCCTTCCCCAAAGCCCCAGCCCTGCCTCTTCCCGCCCCTGCTCCAGCCCAGCCCTGCCCCCCATTCCCCTGAGGACTGAAGCAGGGCCGGGCCTGCACTCACCGGCAGCGGGAAGTGCAGCGGCCTGGCCCTAGCCATGCTGCAGGTGAGTGCTGGGGGGTGGTTCCCCCCTGTGCCCCAAGCAGCCCCCCTGCCCCATGGAGGCCTGGGGCCAGCTCCCCCCCCCCCACAGGGGGGCTGCGTAGGGCCCCAGAATAGCTAGGGACGGCCCTGGCTGCACAGCTCCCTGCCTTACACTGTGATATCCCCAGCAAGCCAACCTGCCTCAATAGGCCAGCACCTGCACTTTGCTTGTTACCAGAGGGCTCTGAAGAGTATAATTGCCAGCAGTTCCAAGTTACCATACAGCGCTTTCCACGCAATCACACTTATTCTTCAGATAAAGGCATTACAGAGAAAACATATATTTTAAAACAACATTGCTGTATACATGCTAACAGCTTACCATCAGTCTTATGGGGCCCCAGTAGGACAAAGTCCTCTCAACTCTTCTGCAAGGGTTGGGGTCCCCCTTGGACAGCAGGTCATTTCTGTTTGCTGGAAGAAGGCCCTGAGTCAGTTTAAGTTTGGCCTGTTTATCCAAAATTCCTTCCTTTTGTCTTTTGGTCTATGAGTATCCAGTTTGCACTATTTTAACCCTTCTGCCAGGTGAAGCCAGCAGCAACAAGGGCCAGGTTCAGTATCTAGGGGTTCTCTTTCAACAATACAACACAAAACTGGCGCGAGCCCCAACCCAGTGACCTGGGACAACTGCACACCACCCCCTGGGTGCCTCTAAGAGGCAATACTTCCCCTCTCGTAAAGCACAGAGTCTGAGTGTAGCAAAAACTTTTAATAAAAGGAGGGAATTAACTCAGCATGAATTTGGGAACACACCGCAACTAGGGCTCATAAACACAAACCATGAGCAAAAGACCCACCCCCAAGTAAGTTGGGCAGTGTCCTTTTCCCCTCAGGGTCTTAAGTCCAGCAACCCAAAAGTCCCTTTAATGTGCCCGTCCCTTCTCTGTACGCCACTCACAGTTGCTGTCCTTGGCCAGTGCAGCCCCAGAGTTCAGAGGTTCATCCGCAGAGTTCACCTCCCACCCTGTGTGGAAGGCGGGGTGCTGGTGGTGGTAAGGTAGCACCTTACACGCTTCACTGCTCGGGCACTCGCTTGTTGCCCCAAGGGCTGATTGCCACGCCTCTGCAAGGCTCTGCTCTAGCCCTTTCCACAGCCGCTCTGCTGGTCATGCCTCTCTGCCAGCCGCCCCGGGGGCCACTTGCCATGCCTCTCTGTCAGCTGCCCTGCAGGCCACTTGCCACGCCTCTGCACCAGCTGCTCACTTGCCACACTTAACACAGCTCTCTGTGATTTCAGCTGCTAGAAGGGGAGCCTCACTGCTGGTGCACACTGGACAGTCTCTTGCAATAGAAACACTGTCCCAAAGTTGGTCTAATACTTAGACCTAGATATCAGTGATTTCAGCTCTGCAGTCTGTAATAAGACTCTCAATTGAGTCCAAATTAGCTCATTTATTATGCCATGGAGAGAGGAAGGGTCAAAGGGTGTCTAGGACCCTTAAACAGGGCCCACGCTACCAGGTACAAGTACCTGTTCCTACCCTCTCTCAACTCATTGGGTTTTGGAACCCATGTCCCCTGCCTAGCGAGTGCTGTTCAGTTGGGTGAGAGTCCCTCCACTGGGGTATGCCAGGTACAATTCTGCTGCCCTCGGTTCACACAACAAGGATAGCAACCCTTTATTATTCCTACCCCAATAACAAGGAGACTGGGGATTTAACACCAGCCACAAGTGATCATTTGGGCAAGCAGTCCCATCATGCTGAGCACCTAGGCAGGGTGGGTGTGTCCATGCAAATGAGATCAGCTTCTGAAATCTTTTTCCACAGCTCACCACTAGATGTCGGGGAGAGCTCATCCAGACTCTGCTTACACATGAACCTTCCCAGGAGATAGTACCTGGTTTTGGTTCCTGGAGGAAATGTGGCAGACCTTCCCTATGGAGTAGAACAGAATCACACATAAACTGTTCATATAATACAGTGCAGCCCAATGATACCTTAATTTAATAAGGTCCCATATCTGGCAGTAAGTTGCCATATCTGTCACACTCAGATCCTCTGCAGATCAGCACAAAGCAGGACTTGTAACAAGCTCATCAGTGGATTACACTTGTACTTACTAATATCTGTGCAGAGTGCAAATAAATTCCATTCAAACTTGGTAACTTTTTACACCCACATTGCACAGGGGTTAAGTCAAGACACCAGAGAGCCAGAATCAAAGTGTGTCACACATCTGCAATGAACTTGTTCTGCCGGCAGAGTACATTCCAAGGTCAACTGGATTACACAAATTCCCGTTTACAACTTGCATTCTTTTTAAACTAGGGGAGACTTATAGCTACATTTCCCTGGCATTGGATAGGAGTTATTGTTTCTAACTCCAGTTATCTGATACTGTCAGAGCTTTACTAACTAGACAAAGTTCATTCCTATGTCTATTTACTGCATGAAGTTTCACCTTCATTATGTTTCTCTTTCAACTGTTACCCTAGATGCCTGCTGATGCCCCAAAGGACTATATAAATTCCTCTGGGACATACCATGGGAGCTTTCTAGTGAAGGTTATGACTTAGCATCCATCACCTGCTAAAAACTGCATAAACACATGATATTGCATTGCTTGTAAGGGGTTCTTATTTCTGTGAGCCTAATAGATGATTCTTTATTTAGGCTCAGAATGAGACCTGGGGAGTACTGGATGAGGACAACTTATTGGACTCTAAAAGATGGCTTATAAACACTGATGACAATACCCTAAACCATGCAGGACTCTCATGGTAGACAGTTCATAAAATGTTTCTGGAGTACAGTCCGTTGCTTGGCTCCTCTCAGCTGTGATTTTGATAGATGCCTCAGGCGTAAGTTGGGATGCCCACTTACACTGTCTCTAGGTACATGGGGTTTCAAAATTCATAGAGATCTAGGATTACAAATTTCTTGGAATCCAGAGCAATATAGATGGTAGGGGGAACTTTGTTTCCTTACATCCGTGACAAATCTGTACTGATTTTGACAGACATCACCACAGCCATGTATCATATGCACTAGTAGGGGGAGCTCATTCCTGTTGTTTGTGTCAAGAAACTGTCTAGCCTGAGGAAGTGGTGCATTCCAAATCAAGTTGCACCTCTAGCTCTCTGTTTTTTTTTCCATGCAAGAACATGGTCTTGGCAGGCAGCCTCATTCTTAATTTATCAGCCCCATCATGAGGGGTTTTTCAAGTTTTTGTCCATGTCGATATTCCAAACTACAGGGATCCTTCAAAAAGCTCCCTTTGTCTTGAAGGAGAATTCATTGTGCCTTCAGTTTTTATTCTGTAGGAAATAGTGATCCAAAATCCTTGAACAGCTTTCTTCTAGCTTGGAGCCATACTCTGCTGTATACCTTTATCCCTGTATGCTTCAGCAATGGTACCGATTGCAAGAGTTCTGTCCTTTGTGGGCATGTCAGTATTTATATTTGGATCTGTTACCCCTGCCGCTGAAACATCTAGTCTGCCTTTCAGTTCTTCCACATCTGTTTTCACAGTATCAAAGTCAAATGCATTATCCAGGTCTGAGATTCCTAAATATCATGGCTTGCAATGTGGTGTATTGTGAAATTCTGATCTGGAGTCCTCTTAAGCTATTAAGCGAATATTTCTGGAAAGTCGTAAATCTTTGAGGAAAACCTATGCCTTAAAATGGAAAAGATTTTCAATTTGTGCTGCTGACCAAGACTGTGCATCTTCCACTTCTTCAGTGCCTTGTATTGTTTGCTGTCTCTAAATGACCGATTTACTGAGGAGTTCAATGTGGGTTCATTTTGTGGAAATATCTGTAACTTGTGTTTGGAGGAGGTGAAATACTTGGTTTGGGATGGGCTGGTTGTCTTATATAGGGATGATTTGTCTGTTTTCAGATTAGTATTAGCACATAGGATTCCAGAGAGACACTTTATAAGAGAATGAGGACAAATATAATTGTCCAGCCAAGGATTATCCATATTTGCACATTCTACAGTGAAACAATTTCTGAAAGGACAATTGCATGTTTTTTCCACCCACTTGAGAACAAATACTCTCCTTGAAATTAAATTTGATGCTCATGTGATTTGATATCACTGTGGGAGCCCTTTGGAAAATATTCTTTACATCACCTGTACTTACAGCATTGCTAGAATGGGTGAGATCTAAGTCCTGATGGCTGAATTCCCTTAAAATAAAGATAATGTGATACCATCCTTTACCTGATCTTGATTTACCAGGACTTTTCTCTGAACCTTATAACTTACAGGGGAGGTAATGTTATATAGGCTAGGTCAGTGTTTCTCAAAGTGTTGGGTGTTCCTCTTTGGCATGGTGTGAAGGACAACTGTGCTTGAGAGAAGCATGGAAGTTGTATACATTAAGCTTCAACAACACATGGCAGGGTAGTCAGGTGAACATGACTTATTTCATTTTCCTAAAGCGAGGCTCAGCTTTAGAAAGTTTGGGAAAACACTAGTCTAGATGTTAAAGAGCTCTTGGCTATGGCTTAGGTAGGACCAAACCCTTTTGTTAGTCTTCCATATTATTTGTAGCATATGGAGTTAAATCCAGGGGCCCAGAGATTGTTTCAGTGAATTAGAACCTGTAGGCAGATCTGCTGTGAGCTACTATGTGTCCCAATACTTTGGGATCTAAAGTCACGCTCCCCTTGATCCAAAGCCCTTTGCCCAACGTATCTAAGAAAATATCTCCTTTGTGGACACTTCAGGCTGCTACCTTGAACTCAGTGCTTACATTTATAAAGCATTATTCTTGGCTTGTCAACTAGATGGGATGGTCAATTTGGGATAGCAGTGCTATGATCTTCACTTTTCTTTAGACCTATATCCTTAAAGGCTGTGTGACTTCTAGTTAATATCTCTTAAGTGGGGCTCTACAGGCAGTTTTTGAAGGAGAAATAAGTGCTATTTGTCTGTCTAACTAGTCTGTGAGATGTCAGTCTATATAGGTCTACATGCACCACTCAACTGCCCTGCTTCTTCAGAGTCTTTGTAAAGGGTTTTGAATAGGTGGGAGAAGGACTTTTGATGTGTTTGGGGATGAAAGGAACTTGGATTATGGATTTTTCTGTAACTCTATCCAAATGGTCAGTCCTGTGCGAGTGAGCAGTAGCGCCAGTTGTCACTGCTTTTAGATGGTTTTGACTCTGTCTGCTGAAGGTACATGTGCATACCACAAGTGTAGCTTTACAGTATACTTGCCATCAGCTTGATGAACCACAGTTGCAGGTTAAGTGGACTTTTTATTTTTTTCATTAAGACGCCACAATTTAAAAAATAATCACATTAATTTTCATATTAAATCTTCTGTTTAAAGACAGACCAAGTGAGTGCTGTGCTAGGCCTTGCGTGTCATTTTCATCTGACTATTTTTATAGTTGGCCTGTCACTCCCTGAAAATGAAAATGCTGTCTGATGGAAATGCTGGCCAACAATTGCCCATACTGTAGCTGCATGAATGGTGGACCCCTAAGAGATAGTGACTGTGCACTCTCCCTCCATGCTAAACTATTAATTTGAATCTCTAATTCACCATTTTCTTAATCTACACACCCCATAATTCACATGTAAAAACCCAATGGTCTCATTCCATTTCTCAGTAATGGTTTAATAACAGAGACAGTGCTGTATTAAGGTCTAATATTACTAATACTTCATTACTTTTACAAACTAAACTACAGAGCATATGCTATGAGCTGTTATCATAACTGAACAGCACTTGTCAAATGAGTGCATCATGTTGTTACTAATAAACATATGCTGTATTTAGACTTCTTTAAGCTAGTCATTCATCTTGCAACTTGCAGAATCATTTTGTTTATATCATAATGAAGTTTGTGACTCTGTTTTACATTCAATATAAAAAGTTGTATTCTTTTCCCTAAAGTTTTCCTTCAGTATCTTACATGTTTTATTATATGTCCACAGAACAGGTTTGTTTACTCCAGACATGGCCTTTGAGGCTATAGTTAAAAAACAGATAGTGAAGCTGAAAGGGCCTTGCTTAAAAAGCGTGGATCTGGTGATGCAAGAGTTAATCAACACTGTCAAGAAATGCACTAAAAAGGTAACTTCTGAATGGGTTCATTAATAGTTGAAGTGCACTTGTCAATCTAGTGTTATGGTAGATAATATAATGGGCAAGATGCTTTGCCATGTGGCTCTACTCAGAAAAACGATGCAATGATATGAGATGGTATGGTTCTACATTTGTGTCTTAGTTGCTTTCTTATCCAGTTTACTCAGTTTACAAATAAAAAGTACTGTAATACTGATCTTGGTTTCTGATGCTCAAAATGGCTTGTTTCTAGATCTTGCATCATCGCCGGCGTGGTTTGTTTTTTCAGGGAAAAAAAAGTCAAGTGCTGGCCCCATTTTCACCTGTATAACCATATTGCTGCAGTTGGTGTTGTATGGCTATTACTGAAAGCATAATATAGAGAAAATGGGATCATATAGATGGCCCTGCAAATTAAACGTAATTAACATTTTTGTTGAGGCATAAGCCAGAAAAATCCAGCGTCGGAAGTTGTCTTTGCAGCACTGGCAATAGGAAAAAGTAGTAGTCTTTCTTTTGTCACTAAAGAAAGTAGATCAGATTCCAAATATATTCAGAGAGCAGTTCTGCTGAGTAAAAAACATTTTTGCACAGAAACTTTTCAGAGTAGAACCATACTTAAGTGTCCAAGTGGTGAAATACCCTCCTGTGCTGTTTCTCATATATGCAAATCCATAACTCATCATCACCAACTTTCAAGAGGCTACAAGGTAGAAACATGAGAAAATCCAATCTCCCCTTGATTTGCCCACACTTACCCCACTGGGAGTTATGCATGTGGGTGGAAGGATGAACTAGTCTGAAGAATTGCAGAACGAATGTAGGAAACAAATTGCATTGGAAAGAACTGTTGTGCAGTTGGCTTCCCTAAAGTAAATGGTGTGTGTGTACTCAATAATGAAACGTTAATTTAAGGTCCCGACAAGTATAGTAAAATGAGTATAGTATGAATGAGTATTCTGGCTGATTGGTCTGCATACAGTGTGTACCTGGGTTTATTTATACTTTTTAAAAAGAAAACCTTTTATTTTCCTATTGTGACTAAAAAATTCAGGTTTTAGTGTGGAACTGAATTCAATATAGAAATCAGAAGTCAGTTGTATATGCCTTGGTTATAGGGGATAACATTTTCAAGTGTCAAAGTCTGATTTTCAAAAGTGGCTTAGCCTCCTAAGTGCCTTAATCACTTGAAAACTACCTATGGTCAAAAGTGGATCCACAGTGACTACCATTAACTGTGGCTGAAAATGGTTTAGGCCCCAGATAAGGCCAAAATGCTTTTAATAACAATGATGGAAAGCATGTGCGAGTCGCAGTGGTGGGCTAGTCATCTGTCCTTGTGTCTTAATCTTGGGAACATCGGAATTTTTGTACTGGATCAGACCAACGGTCCATCTCATCTAGTAGCTTGTCAGTACCAGATACTTCATAGTTTCTTCCTAGTCCCCACAGAGTTGGTGGTTGATTTTTGCCTCTGAAATACTCTTGTGTTTATATTCCTTATAATTTGTTACCCAGTCTCATAAACGTCTAATCCTCTTTAATCCTAAACTCTTGACCTCAATCTCCTGTGCCAGAACAATTATGTGTTTAAAGGTTTCCTTTTAATCAGTTTTAAACGTGTGGCCTTTTTCATGTCCTCTTTTATACAATGAGAAGAGGGTAAATGGGAACTCTTAGTTTATTTTCCATATCATTCACTTGTTCTATACCTTTGCTATGCCCTCTCTTATTAGTCCCCTCATTAAACTATACGCTCCTTTAAAAAAAATAAAAAAATTATTGGCTTGTAAAGAGCCCTAGTCTTTTAAACTTCCCCTCAGAAGGAAGTCTTTCTATGTTTCTAATCATTTTCAATGCCCTTCTCTAGAACCTGTCTATTTCTGCTAGATCCCTTTCTGAGATGGTAAGAACAGAACACAATATTCAAGGTAAGGGCAGGTTATCAATTTATTTAATGCCAGTATTACATTTTCAATACCCTCTGTTCCTTTCTTAATACAACCTAACTTCTTGTTTTGTTTTTTTAGACCTCCATTGCACATTAATTGGGTGTCTTCATTGTGCTATCCTCAGTGATACCTGGATCTTCTTCCTAAGCAGTTATGGTTTAGATCCAACCATATGTGGGGGCTGTAAAGTGTTCCTTCCAATGTACATCACCTTACATTTCTTTTCCATGAATGTGATCTACAATAGTTTTGCCCAATGATCTACTTGGCTAGGACTTTCTGTAGTTCTTGGTCGTCTTTTGTCCTGACCAACATAAATCATGTCATTTGCAAATATTGTCATTTCACTGATTACTTTCTTGTACAGATCACTGATACCTATTTTAAACACTGCCAGTCCTAGTCCAGATTCTTTGGGCACCCCATGATTAGCATCTTTCTTTGATGAAAGCTGACAGTTTATTTCCTCTATTTGTTTTGTCTCTTAACCAGTTTATAATGATGACAGTTCTTTAGGTCAGTATGTTAGGTCCCTTAACAGTCTAAGGGATGTTATAAAAGGCTTTTTCAAACATGTAAATAAATAACTGACTCTCCTTTATCCACTTTCTTATTGTCACTCTCAAAGATCAATAGTTCTTTTTCAGAAACATGCTGTTTTGTCCCTATCCTATCCTGTGTCTGTTCATGTTTTATGCTATTATCTCTGATTTCAAACAATGTGCCTGGTAAGGCATGCTGATCTGTAGCTTTCACAATCTTGTCTTTTTAAGAGAGAGACACAATGGTGGTTTCCTTATGGTCCTCTAATATAGCAGCTTAATTTTATTAGATTACATTTCCTCAGTAGCTTAGCTACTTCATTCTTATGTACCATCAGAACTCTAGGTATACCATATGATCCTGGGGACTTATTTAATTTCACTTTCTTCCAGCACCTCTCTTTTGACATGTAAGTCTCTGACAGGGCTTCATCTTTATTACCTGAAAAGGGTAAGTCTGACATAAGTATTTCCCAACATACTCTATGCTGCAGACTGATGCACAGAAGTAGATGGGCAAAATTTTCAGAAGCACTTAAGACCAATTTTTCAGAAGCAACTCAGGCACCTTAGGAGACTAATTACCATTTTCTCTCAGGGGCTGCCCATCCATATAGGCGAACTAGGCAGTCACCTAGGATGCCAAGTTAAATGGGGCGCCAAATTCAAGGAAAAAAATTAAATTAAAAAAAAAATAAAATGAAAAAGATGAAAAAAATACAAATAAAATAACGAAGATGTCATTTTTTCAATTCCCGTGCGTGTACAGAGGGATTATGAATTATAATTCATTTCTCTACATTTCTGAGAATTTATTATGTCAAATCTTTTATTTACTGCAAAATAAATAATATTTTAGTGAAATTTTTTTTCAACTTGCGACATAGGGTCAAAATGACCCACTCCGCAATTTTGATAAGCAATAACTCAGCCACAATGAAACACATCCGCCAACGGCAAGAGCTGCAATGCTAGTGACAGCCTAACTTGAATATACATCAAGGTTTCATAGCCGGAAATTCATGTAGAGCGGAGAGTCGGCATTGACTCGTGAAAATTCAAAAGACATTGATGCTACAGATTTGTGTAGTGAGCTTCAGGCTTTTTCAATATGACTTAAGAAACATTCCACTCCTGAAGAAGTACTGAAGTTTTATTGTGAAAATAAACTCAGACAGTTTTCCAAACATTTTTATAGTTCTACGCGTTCTTTTAACTTTGCCAGTTTCCGTAGCTACTGGGGAACATACCTTCTCAAAGTTAAAATTGATAAAAACATATCTGCACTCAACAATGGTACAAGAGAGACTTGTTGGCCTTGCCACAATGTCAATAGAGCATGAAATAGCTGGAAAACTGGATCTAAAAGAACTAGTGACTGAATTTTCAAAACTTAAAGCAAGAAAAGTCATGTTTTAAGATCATCCAACCCCTCTTCTCATTCCTGATGGCCCTGGGACCCTTGCCCCCATTCATTCCCCCTGTTCCCTGCCCTCTGACCACCCTGACCCCTATCCACCCCCCACCCTCCCGAACTCCCCTGCCCTCTATCGAACACCCCTCCCTGCTCCCTTACCGTGCTGCCTGGAGGTGGCTGGCGGCATTACAGCCGTGCCGGGCCGTGCAGCTGGAGCTGGACCGGGCTGAAGCTGCGGGGGAAGGGGAACAGCCGGGAGCTCAGGGGCCGGGCAGGAGAGTCTTGTGGGCCACTGTAGTGAGTGCCCGCCCCGCCCCGCCCCTAAGAGCCAGAGGGACCTGCTGGGGGACAAGGTGGGGAGTCCCGGCAGTGCTTACCTGGGGCGGCTCCCGGGAAGCATAGGGCAGGTCCCTCTGGCTCCTAGGGGCAGGGTAGCGTAGCTGGGGGGGAGCAGGGGGTTACCTGCCACGGCGCGTTGCCCTCCTTGCGCCCCCCGCCCCAGCTCACCTCTGCTCCATCTCCCTGGGCCTGAGCGTGAAGCCGTCGTTTGCTTCTCAGCCCTCCCAGGCTTCCCGCGTGAACAGCTGATTAGTGGAGGGCGGGAGGAGAAGCTGGGTGGAGCATTCAGGGGAAGAGGCGGAGCGGAGGTGAGCTGGGGGCGGGGGCGGGGCGGGGAGCTGCCGGAGCTTTACTGGTTGTTAAATTTAAAAGCCCTTTTAGAACCAGTTGTCCCATGCGGGACAACCGGTTCTAAAAGGGCTTCTAAATTTAACAACCGGTTCCCGCGAACCGGCTCCAGCTCACCACCGCCTAAAGCGTGCTTAGTATGATCAGGCAATTCATATCTTGGTGTTGGCAGATGTACTATTGTAAGCGATGAGAAAATTGCACTAGCTTTAGTATCAAGTATTCTAGACTGGTTGACACTGTGGGATAATTAGGGGAGGAAAATGCAGTAGGTGATATGAGTTGCATTTATTTTTAGCTAATGTGTGTGGGCGGGGAAGAGCAAACAGAACAAATTGCCTTTTTAATAATCAGAATAGCTTTAAAATGACTGCAGAACCCTGGCACAGAGTAGAGTTGTAGATAGTGGTGTTTAAATGCTCCAAGGGAATCAAACTGAACCAACCAACCTGCTAAGAAGCAGGTTTTGCACTGTAGGGCGCTAACCGTAACTCTTTCCCTTATTATAAGCACAGGAAGAGGACAAAATGATTAATGTCCAGTGTCATTTCTGATCAGTCCTTCTGTCAGTCTCTTCATTTGGAAAATAGCTTGTAGAGTCTAAGAAATATTGTGAAGATTGTTATGGACTCTTGATCGTGTCTTCTCAAATGTTAATTTCTACTCTTTGAGTCTGAAGCAGTAAATCTCAGTTAAGATTAAGTAATGTATTTGGTTGTGATCTTCTTCATCCTCATCGTCAGTGAAGAATGGGAATGGAATTTGCTTTTGTTCCCAAAGTCATTCTTTTACTGTACTTCTGAAAACAAACAAAACTCCCTTAGTTCAATGTACTCATATCATTTAGGTCATAGATTCGGCTTGTGATAATATGGAACTGCCTTATCACAGTAGAGTATTTTACCCTTGTCACCTGAAGAATTGTTTCTTTGGTGTTTTAGAATGGTGGTTTTTCCTTATCCATTAAATGCAAGAGCTGACACAGTTGCTGAATTGTTGGAACTGGAGGCCTCCTCCAAACCACATCACAGTAGCTGTCTATCCTCAATGATGCCTGGATCTTCTTCCTAAGCAGTTATGGTTTAGATCCAGCCAAGTGTGTGGGCTGTAAAGTGTTCTTTCCAAAGTACATCACCTAACATTTCTTTTCCATGAATGTGATCTACAATAGGGTTGCCCAATCATCTAGGTTGGCTAGGACTTTCTGTTGGGGAGACAATGTTGGTGAAGTAATGTCTTTTATTGGGCCAACTTGTTGGTGAAAGAGACGAGCTTTCAAGTTACACTGAGCTCTTCAGGTTGAAAGCTTGTCTCTTTCACCAATAAGAAATTGGTCCAATAAAAGCTATTACCTCACCTGCCTTGTGTAGCGAAGTGACGACTCACCGGTGCGGCGCCTCCTGCTGGTTGTCCTGGGAATTAGCTCTTCACAAGCTTCGGAGTGCCCCTACTGGCCAGTGTCTCGCCTGCTGATGGCTCCGTGTCCCCCCCGGTGCCCTTTACCTTGGGGTGCTGCCCCAGAAGTACCCCACCATGCTCTGGGTCTCCCCTCCTAGGGAAACCCCCAACCCTCTATCCCCACCTTGCCTCAGTGGCTACTGCCAGTCATCATCTAGCTCCCGCTCACTGGGGCAAACTGCATTCTGTAAACCACTCATCACTGGCAAGGGGGGTTTGGACCAGCTGCCTCTGCCTAACCCCAGGCTACACCTCTGCAGCCCCAGTACCTTGCACAAGGCCTGCAGGCCTGGGAGTTACCAGGCTGGAGCTCCTCTTGCCTTTCCCCAGCATTACTCTACTCAGGTACCCTTCTCTCCCAGGCAGCCCGGTCCTTCTCTCTCTACAGCTAGAGAGAGACTGACTTAGCTCCTGGCTCACAGCCCTTTTATAGGGCCAGCTGTGGCCTGATTGGGGCGTGGCCCCAGCTGTGGCTGCTTCCCCAATCAGCCTAGCCTTTTTAAGGAGTGGGGCAACTGCCCCGCTACACCTTGTCTCCTAATATCTTGGGACCAACATGGCTACAACAACTCTGCAAATATCCATTCTTTGATCAGCAGGGAAGGAAATACATGAGATGTGGGCTCATGCCCACTCCATTCTTAAGTGTGTAACCCTTCTGCCCGTCTGAGTTGGCAGCAACAAAGGCCGGGTTCAGTATCTAGGGGTTCCGTTTAAATAACACAATGTATGTTGTTCTTGAAGTACATGTATAGATCCACTCTCTCCATCCTCCTTTCTTATATTTTGGGAGAGCTTTGACATAGATTTGGATTAAGTGAACAGGAGTCGATGGTTTCGAGCTGCAGTTCCATGTTTGCTCTCATTCCAAACATTCAGTTCTGCAAAGGAACATGCACTCAAAATGGCCACTACTTTCTTGAGCATTCCGTGAAGCAAATAGGCATGCAAGTTCCCAGAGTTTGGATCTATGTATATTGTATTAAACTACCCTTACTGGTAAGTACGCTTCATACAGTCTTGTTAACTTTAGTACAGTGTTTACAGAACTTACTACTATCCAGAGTCTAGTGTAGATTCTCCATTTGTACCCTTTTAACATCACTCAGCAAGTTTAAATTCCTCCCCCTTTTGCCTTTTGTCAGCTGGCAACCTATCCAAGGCTATGTGAGGAAACGGAAAGGATTGTTGCTGGCCACATTCGAGACAGAGAGGAGAAGACCAAGGAACAGGTGGGAATAAACATGAAATCTGATGGGTCGGGAATTGAGAGTGATGAAGGACTTGAACCATTTTTGAAAAGCTTTAGCCATGGTAAATTGCTTGTGTTGAAAGTGTAACAGACATTGACGTATTAGATGTTGGAGAGGTGGGGAATGGAGAGAGGTTCTAGAGAAGGGAGGGAATGAGAACAGCGCTGTTCCAAAAGCTCCTAATTTAGTCGCCAGTCACAAATGGGAGCAGAAAATGTAGATGACCTGCTGGTGGTGTATAACTGGAGTAACAGCTCCTCTTCTAATCCCACTTGCAGACAGTGGATGGGACATGGCCAAGGAAAAGGTACAATCCCTTGCAACCATAATAGCCCTCTGGGGCTACTGGCAGCTGTCCTAATTTAAAACAGTCCTCTGGCTTCTCATGGAGCTTGAGCCTCGGACCCTATGGAGCTTGAAAGCGCTGCATGGTATCCTGTTCCCTTCCTCTCAGTCAATATTATAGATGTTTACTCCAAGTCTTAATCACACAAGTTATTGATCTTGTGCCTTGGGGGAGCTTTTAATCAGCACAACCAAGTTTTCCAAACTTTGGAAGAAAAGGATACAGGTAACTTGGAATAACTGCTCCCATTTTTCTTTCCTTGTTCTTCTTCGAGTGATTGCTCATGTGTATTCCACAATAGGTGTGCATGCTTGCCACGTGCACCGGTGCCAGAAGTTTTTCCCCTAGCAGTACCCATGGGGGGGAGTGCCCCCGCATCCCCTGGAGTGGCGCCTGCCTGGTGCGGTATAAGGGGAGCTGCATGCTCCCCCCACCCTCAGTTCCTTCTTGCCGCCAGCGAAGGTGAGTCGGAACTGCTCAGCTCCAGCTTTGCTGCAGCTTGTCCCCAGAACTGTTCGTCCATTCATTAGTACCTGTAGTCAGTTAGGTATTTAAGTTAATTTAGTTAGTTAGTGAGCCCGGGCCGGGGCATGCCCCGCGCCCCGGGATTTAAGTCGTGCGGCTCTTTTAGGCGTTCTATGCCAAGGAGTGACCCGCATGCGGAGTGTCTGTGCTGCTTGGGAGAAACCCATATCAGCGAAAGGTGCAAGATCTGCAAGTTGTTCAAGCCCTGGACCAAAAAAGAAAGGGACATTAGGCTCCGGGCCATCCTGATGGAGTCGGCGCTGGCCCCGACCCCGGCACACCGCTCCGAACCGGTACCCGGCACCGCAGCGTCTGTACGCGGAGACCCTCCGGTACCATCGACCAGTCGGCACCGCTCCCCATCCATGGGGCACACTAAGAGGACCGGAAAGACGCCCTCTCCACAAGGGCACCGAGGGAAGTCTGGGACAGAGGCTAGCCCCATGTCGGGCAGCCCTCGATCCCCACCGGGCCCTAGGCCTCCGACTGATGTTGAGCGGAGTAGCCCGGCCTCTTTGGAGCAGGCCTCTCCGGATGTCCGGATGCCATCTACGCCCAAAGCCCTCCAGGCGGCCAGTGACGTCATGTCCATGCTGGTGCCCGGAGCTCCGCCGATGTCGGCCTCCACGCTCCAGGGGCAAGCTGCCGCTGGGATCACTGCAGTCGCCACCGGCCTGGTACTGGTCTTGGTCGAGGGAACGTTCCCGACACCACTCATGGCCCAGCGACCGTTCAGGGCTCGGTCCATGTGGATCGCCCTCGATGCCGGCCAGACTGTCTGGATGGGTGCCGTCCGACCAGGACTCCGGGCACCGCTCGTCTTCGGAGCAAAAATCGACAGGACCGTGGTGGACGTTGCCAACTGGCCTCGTCTCGAAGGAGGTACCACAATCGGTCGCGGCATGACCGTCTACGCCGTTCCTGCTCGGACTCCCGCTCCAAGTCTCCGTTAAGGCACCGTCGCCCCGGGTGTCGATCACCGGCGTCTCGCTGTCGTGGGTCTGCCCGTCGAGGCTGTTTGCGGAGCAGCTACTACCGTCGGTGCCATTCCTTCACCTTGAGATCGCGGTCCCGTGGCCGACGTAGATCCCAGCACCGCTGCTACTCCCGGTGCAGAGGCAGCAGTGGGTCGTATGCCAGCCCAGCCTCCGCTCACAGCCGCCCGTCTACAGGCCAGGCTAGCCAGCCCGAACAGCCGGCCCCGCCGGTGCGGTGCCTCAGCAAGTGCAGTGGCACTGAGCGTTGTGGCCAGTCCAGTGGTACCAGTGGGCACCGTGGCCTCCGGTGCAGCCACTGGTGGGGACTTGCTCGGTGGCCGGGGCGTCGGAAGCACCGTCGGCCTCCATCCCTAGACTGCCAAGAAAGGAGTCAGTGGGACCCATGTCCTCAGCACCGTGCCTGGAGTCCGACCAGGTGGTGGATCCTCCGGTGCTGGCCGACACCCAAAGCACCAAACCGGCCTCCTCGCCCCGTCCGGAGGAGCTGATTGCAGCCCCGCCCCCCCTCCGTCCCGCAGGACTATCGGGCCCACCAAGACCTCTTAAAAAGGGTGGCAGTGAGCCTCCATCTCCAAGCAGAGGAGATGGAGGAGCCCTCAGACTCCTTGTTCAATGTGCTGTCCCCCTCGGCACCGGGCAGGATGGCCTTGCCGCTCCATGAAGGGGTGGCAAGAATTTAAAATGCCCTGTGGCAAACACCAGCCTCATTGGCTACCATCTCTAAGAAGGTGGAACGCAAGTACTTTGTACCCACTAAGGGGCATGAATGTTTGTATACCCACCTGGTGCCCAACTCCTTGGTGGTTGAGTTGGTCAACCACAGGGAACAGCAGGGGCAGCCAGCCCCGACCCCTAAGAACAAAGACTCTCGGAGGCTGGATATTTTCGGGAGAAAAGTTTATTCATCGTCAAGCTTCCAGCTAAGAGTAGGAAACCATCAGGCTCTCCTGGGTCGCTACGAGTTTAATCTCTGGGGATCCCTCCCCAAGTTCAAGGACTCACTCCTGGAGCACAATAAAAAGGAGTTTAAGGCGCTCATGGAGGGAGGGGCAGCGGCCGCAAGGGCATCCCTGCAAGCTGCTTCGGATGCAGCGGACACGGCCGCACGGTCTGTGACCTCAGCGCTGTCTGTGAGATGAGCGTCATGGCTCCTGCTCTCTGGGCTATCCAGCAAAGCACAGTCGTCAATGCAGGATCTCCCTTTCGACGGGAAGGGTCTGTTTGCTGAGGAAACAGACACAAGGCTGAATGGCATGAAAGACTCCCGCACGGCCCTCCAGACCTTGGGCCTCTATGTCCCTGCTCCGGCAAAACCCAAGTTCAAGCCACAGCAGGCTTCTGCCCAGGCCGCCCTCCCGAAGTACGAGGCCGTCCATAAGAAGCAGTGGGACTATAGAAAACGCCCGCAAAAGCAGTCTCGGCCTGCCCACCAGCCTGGGTCCTCTAAGGGCAAGCAGGCGGGTAAAAGGCGTTTTTTGACGGGACGCTCGGAGGTACCCGGCCAGTTCTCAGCAGGGATCCACCCCCAATAAAGCTCCCTTTTTCCAATCGGTTGTGTGCTTTCCTCCCGGAATGGTCGTGGCTCACCTCGGACCGATGGGTCCTCAACACCATCTCCCGAGGTTACCCCCTTCAGTTTGCCTCCCCCCCCCCCACCCCCCCCCCCCCATCCCTCTTGGGGGACCCATCACACGAGGCTATGCTCGAGCAGGAGGTCGGGCAGTTCATGGAACTAGGAGCGATAGAGGTGGTGCCCAAGGAGTTCTTGGGCAAGGGGTATTACTCCCGGTATTTCCTTATCCTGAAGGCCAAAGGGGGGCTCAGGCCCATCATGGACCTGCGAGGTCTGAACCAGTACATGGTGAAACTCAAGTTCCGCATGGTTTCCCTGGCCTCCATTATCCCCTCTCTGGATCCCGGGGACTGGTACACTGCCCTCTATCTACAGGACGCGTACTTCCACGTCCACATATTCGAAGGGCACAGGCGCTTCCTCCATTTCGTGGTGGGACAGAATCACTACCAATTCACGGTCCTCCTGTTTGCTCTGTCCACTGCCCCCAGGGTCTTTACAAAGTGCATGTCAGTAGTAGCGGCCTACCTCAGGCGCCGGGGGGGGGTGTCCAGATATTCCCCTATCTGGACGACTGGCTGGTTAAGGGCACCTCCTGATCGCAGGTGAGGGATCATGTGGCACTCCTCCTGTCCACATGCACCGCCCTGGGCCTGATGGTAAGTAATACCAAGTCCACGTTAGTCCCGGTCCAACGCATAGAGTTTATCGGGGCGCTCCTGGATGCAACGTCGGCCAGGGCCTCTCTCCCCCCAGTCAGGTTCGAGACCCTGATAGGGCTCATCAACTCAATCGCAATGTTCCCGGTGATGACAGCCAGGGCTTGCCTGGAGCTGCTAGGTCACATGTCGGTGTGCAAGTATGTGGTCTGCCACCCCAGACTCAGGATGAAGCCCCTTCGGCTCTGGCTGGCCTTGAAGTTCTCCCAGTCACGGACAGAATGGGCAAGGTCCTCATCATGCCGAACTTGGTGATCACCTCCCTGCGGTGGTGGTCCGCCCCAAGCAACATGCTCCAAGGGGTCCCGTTCAGGGACAGGGCTTCGTCGTTGGAGCTGGTGTCCCATGCATTGGACCTGGGCTGAGGGGCCCATATGGGGAATTTTCAGACCGAAGGCCTGTGGTCTCTGCAAGATCTAACCCTTCATATAAACATCAAGGAACTCAGGGCGGTGCGACTGGCGTGTATGGCCTTCCGCTCGCACCTGAAGGGCAAGGTAGTCCGGGTTCTTACGGACAACATGGCCTCAATGTTCTATATCAATAGGCAAGGCGGGGCCCAATCCTCTGCCACGAAGCCCTCAGTCTGTGGGACTTCTGTATAGCTCACGACATCCACCTAAAAGCCTTTCACCTGCCGGGCGCCCGGAACGTGAGGGCGGATCGCTTGAGCAGAGACTTTTCCTCTCAGCACGAGTGGTCTCTATACCCGGAAGTGGCCCACCAGCTCTTCCGAAGGTGGGGAACTCCCCAGGTGGACCTATTTACGACCCGGCAGAACCGACGATGCCCCCGGTTCTGCTCCGGGGGGGGGGGCCATGGGAAGGGCGCTATCTCCGATGCCTTTATTCTGTCCTGGTCAGGCCAGCTTCTCTATGCCTTTCCCCCGTTCCCTCTGATCAGCAGGGTCCTGGAGAGAATAAAGATGGACAAAGCCACGGTCCTCCTCATTGCCCCGGCGTGGCCCAGGCAGCACTGGTACAGGACCCTCTCAGGCCTGGTGGTGGCTCTGCCATGGCCGTTGCCGCTCCGCCCGGACCTGCTCTCTCAGGACCAGGGCTGCCTCCTCCACCCCAGCCTGGCAGCTCTTCACCTCACGGCATGGCTGCTCATTGGCTAGGTGGCAAGGAAAGGACATGCTCAGAACAGGTTCAGTGCGTCCTCCTTGAAAGTAGACGGCCCTCCACTTGCCGCTCCTACATGGCTAAGTAGTCTCGGTTTTCTAGGTGGGCGGCGGACCAAGGTGTGTCCCCAATGGCCGCCCCGATCCAGCTTATCCTTGATTACCTCCTCCACCTGAGGGCCCAGGGCCTGGCGCCCTCGTCAGTCAGGGTGCACCTGGTGGCCATATTGGTGCAAGGACACACTGTGTTCTCCCATGCTATGACCGGCCAGTTCCTTAAGGGTTTGGACCGGCTTTACCTATATTCTAAGCCCCTGGTCCCACAATGGGACCTGAATCTGGTGCTGGCTTGTCTTACATGGCCCCCGTTTGAACTGTTAGCCACGTGTTCCTGGTCTCACCTCTCGTGGAAGGTGGCCTTCCTGGTTGCTATCACGTCGGCCAGGCGGGTCTCGGAGCTCAGGGCCCTGACCTCCGAGCCGCCGTATACGGTCTTTCATAAGGACAAGGGCCAGCTCTGCCCCAACACCCCGCGTTCCTCCCGAAGGTGGTCTCCGCCTACCACATGGGTCAGGACATTTTTCTACCAGTCCTCTGCCCCAAGCCTCACGTGACTAGTGAGGAGCACCATCTCCACATGCTCAATGTGAGGCGGGCTCTTGCTTTCTACCTCGAGCAGAACAAGCCATTCAGAAAGTCCTCACAACTTTTCGCCGCCTCGGCTGAGCGCGCAAGAGGCCAGCCGATTTCCACTCAGCGGCTTTCCAACTGGATCACTTCGTGCATCTGCTCCTGTTATGAGTTGGCGTGTGTCCCCCCGCCGCCCATTGTGAGGGCGCACTCGAGTCGGGTGCAGGCCTCGTCGGCTGCCTTCGTGGCCCTCGTCCCTATACAGGACATTTGTAGGGTTGCCATGTGGTCTTCGGTTCACACGTTCACCTCGAACTATGCGATAGTCTCCCAAATCAGGGATGATGCCGGGTTCGGCAGGGTGGTACTCCATCCCGAGAACTTGGGAACTCCTACCCACCTCCAGAAGGTATAGCTTGGAATCACCTATTGTGGAATACACATGAGCAATCACTCGAAGAAGAAAAGACAGTTACCTTTTTGTAACTGGTATTCTTCGAGATATGTTGCTCCTGTCTATTCCACATCCTGCCCTCCTTCCCCTCCTTGCCGGAGTTGTCTGGCAAGAAGGAACTGAGGGTGGGGGGAGCATGCAGGTGCCACTCCAGGGATTGCAGGGGGCGCTCCCCCCTACGGGTACTGCTAGGGGAAAAACTTCCGGCACCAGTGCACATGGCAAGCACGCACACCTATTGTGGAATAGACATGAGCAACACATCTCGAAGAACACCAGTTATGAAAAGGTAACTGTCTTTTTCCTTCCTCTCACGTGCCCAGAGATGAAGACAAAATATTAGCTTCCTATGTATGTGAATTCAGAGAGCTTCTAACTTCTTTTTGTTCAAATTGTATGCAAATCTGACAGGGTCCAGGCACAGACAGTGATACATATACCTATAATTTACTTATGCTGTTAACAATTACTGTATTAAAATTGGTCAGGCTAGTAGGGAGACATTCAGAAGGCCCAAGCCCGAGCCACTCAGCTCCCATTAAAACAACAAGGAGTCTGGTGGCACCTTAAAGACTAACAGATTTATTTGGGCATAAGCTTTCGTGGGTAAAAACCTCACTTCTTCAGATGCATAGAGTGAAAGTTACAGATGCAGGCATTATATACTGACACATGGAGAGCAGGGAGTTACTTCGCAAGTGGAGAACCAGTGTTGACAGGGCCAATTCAATCAGGGTGGATGTAGTCCACTCCCAATAATAGATGAGGAGGTGTCAATTCCAGGAGAGGAAAAGCTGCTTCTGTAATGAACCAGCCACTCCCAGTCCCTATTCAAGCCCAGATTAATGGTGTTAAATTTGCAAATAAATTTTAGTTCTGCTGTTTCTCTTTGAAGTCTGTTTCTGACGTTTTTTTGTTCAGCTCCCATTGACTTTCAGTGGAAGTTGGGGTCCCCTCTGCCTTTTGAAAATCTCCCCTTTGAGGAATAAAAAGAAAATATCTTTATGGGGTACAGTGTTCTGGGAGCTCTGCAGTGGCAATTGTACAAATTTTTGGTGAAATGAAAGGGGTTTAAAAATAATATTGGACTTCATGAGAAAAACCAATTACACAAGAAAAGGAGCAAAATTGTGTAGTCTAGTGGTATAGGACTTGGTGAAGAGGATTGTTTGATGCAATGCCCAGACACAATAAGGCATTCAGTAGTAAAGGCTTTACTCAGAAGTAACTATTTTTTCCATAGTGGTTTTTGTTGGCTACAGAGAGACTGGTATCCTAGTAGGAAGGTCACATTACATTATTTTATCAAATTAAAACTCTTATTAGTTTTTTTTTTAATAGGGTCTATGCATCAAAGTATTCTTACCCACAGTGTTCTGGCAATAATAAGTTGTTGCCCCGAGGCATAGACTTGGAGAGGTTTTGATAATTATGCAGTTTTACACACTTAGGGGATGTCTACACTGCAGTTAAACACCTGTGACTGGCCCGTGCCCTCAACTCATGAGGCTTTTGCTAGGGGAGGAGAGCCATGCAAAAAACCTTTCCTCTTCTTTGCATGGTTGAGCAAGGGCCTTCTATTGTAGCAGTCCCTGCATTCCTCAGAGCACAGGGATGGTTCACTCCTGATCCCTGCTGGGGAGCAAGCATCTGAAAAGATGGCAGGAGGAAAGCGGGGTCATGGTCCCTCTGCACTGTCCTGGTACACACTTTAGGAAGGCTGCGGGAGGGGGGTCTTTTCTTTGTGCATTTTAAGATATTTCCATGTTAAATAGATCATGATGTTTCAGTACAATTATCCATCTGAGACACCAACAAATCAACAGATCAAGGCTACTCAAGTAGCAAGCTGAAACCTCTGTTTTGCTAAACTGTTCATTTTGTTACTTCATCCACCAGCCCACCCCTGTTTGTTTCGTCCACCTGTTTTATCCTGTCCAACGCTTCAACTGTAAGTTCACTGGGCAGACTTGTTACATGTTTGTACAGTGCCTAACACCACAGCGCCCTAATTCTTCATAGAGGTTCCTGACTAGCCTGGTGTAGTAATAGTAGCAATAAGAGATCAAATATTGCCTATCCTGCAAAATATAGTGCTAGAATCTGTGATATGTATTAAACTCCCCTTTGGCTAGATATGGTTAGTCTTAATTAAATTTTACAGAAGCTGATAATGAGGCAACTGTAAGAAAGCTGAGGGAGGTAGTTGACTGATAGTTCCATTATAGCCTAGTTTGCTAAATAAGTAAAGAAACAGATTTGATTTAGTAGGTAGTACTGCTTTTGGCCAGAATGATTATAAAAGACAATATTCAATAATGCAGCAAACTCAAATTTTCTTTTTCCTTTTTTTCTTCCTGGTAGGTACTGCTGCTAATTGATATCCAGGTATCTTACATCAATACCAACCATGAAGACTTCATTGGCTTTGCAAAGTATGTATACAGAGACTTTATTATACAGATCCACTGTTAATTTCCCCTTCTTACCGATTTAAGGAAAAAAATAGCCTGAAACATTTAGAATGGTGGAGATGCCTACTGCCAACCTCGAGACATGCAAATAGCGTGTAATGCGGTTCACTATTCACTGCTGGGCACCTCCTGGTGGTTCATCTGGGGATTAGCTCTCGACCAGTCTGACGCCCTGTATGCCTTCAGTTGCCCACCCTGTAGTGTGTCTGTCTCTCTGTCTCTGGACTCAGGTTACGTCCTCCTTCGTGACTCAGGGTGCTCCCTCTTCGTGGCTTGGCCCTCTGGCCAGGTCACTATAGTAGTTCTTCTGTGGTATCAAAGTCCCACTGGATGAACCATCTCAGACAGTCTTCCAGTCCACTGCCCCAACTGTGCCACTTCCCCAGTGGCTGGCAGTGGAACCCAGGCCCATCCACTGCTCCAGGTTCCAGCCAGGGACCCTAAACCCAGCAACCGCAGTCTGTGCAAGCTCGGACCCTGTTGCTCTTTCCCTGGGCTCTTTCCTACCTCTCTTCTGTCTTCTGCCCCTGCCCCCTTTTGGTCACCACTGGAGCTTCCTCTGCTCCGTGTGGCGATTTCACCCCTTCTCAGGTTGTTGCCAGCGTCTGTATTCTCAGGCAGGATCCCCAGGCATACTTCTCCTGGGATTCCTCCTTGTCTTTTGCTAATTGCCATCATCTCTAGGGAGTGGCACCCAGTTCTTTCCTGCTGCCCCGTCTTGCTCTCTACTTCCTGGCTTTATACAGCTCAGCCTGCCCCTAGCCTGCTGGGCTTTATCTCCTTCATCTCCTCAGCTCAGCCGGCCCTGACTCTCCTCCAGGGGCAGCCTGCCATGGGGATAATTGGCCCTTTTTTTTTTTCCTACTCAGGCCTAGTGTGGTGTGGACACCCCATCACATAGAGGCTCACCCTCAGGACACTTAATACTTGACTGTGCCCCCTACTGTAGGTCTAGACTGGATTCTCTTGCTTTATCCTAGCCTGACTTCAGGGCTCACTGGAAATGCATCTCTTGACCTGGAACTGCGTCTCTCACTTTTTATAGAATCATAGAAATGTAGGGCTGGAAGGAACCTCAAGAGGTCTCAAGTCCAGCCCAGCCTAGTCTCTTGACCTTGAACTGTGTGTCTCTGGAGACAGCTTTTGATGCACGGATGCCTTTGGTGCAGCCGTTACTGGTAGCATTGGTGCACAGTTGCTAATACAGATTTTAGCAGCATTGATTTAGTACTCACTACACTGCCTGCTTAGGATGACAGTGACACTGCTGAAAATGAGCAAGACTGCTGTTTGGATATAGAGGATAATAGTAGCAGAAGCCAAGAACTATCTCTGAGGGAAGAAGAGCAAGATAATTCTCTCCAATATGGGCTGATCCTTTTTTCCATTTAATTGAACAGATTAAGATTTCTTCTTTTGATATGCAGACAATCCAGGAAAACCCCAAGGCTGTGATTTTGAGGTGTTTGGCCTCATTTCCCAGATGATGTAACAAGTGCCCCTCTTCCATCTTAGACTCGACCAGTTGGTGAGGTTTGGCAGCAACTTCATACCACTCTGGATGTCTCCAAGATGGTTATTGGAAAATGGAGGGATATCCTCAGCTTATTTCTCCCTCCCTCTCCAAAAGATTATGGTGATGGAGGCAGCCGCAATCATGATAGTGCCATAGCATGACTCCAGAGGCTAGGATGCCCTTGGACACAGATTTTTTCAATCTGGGATATTGTCAGCTCACGTTGGGAACAACAGTATGTGTTCTATATGGGAAAACACCAGTTCAAGCTGTGGAAGAAGGTTTGCACTGTGTACCCCCCACCTCCAAGGGTGTGGAGCAAAGAGTTTGTAAGAAACTGACTTGTGAGGGAGTGGACAAAGCCAGGGTGTGGCTATCCTTTGGTGATACAACAATGGGGACAGCTGTCTGTGCCACTGATGCTTGCGGACACATTGTTGCATTTACTAGGCCTTGGCTTTGTGTGATGGTTTCACCAGAAGTTTCAGGACCATGAAACTTTGAAGATGGGGGAAAATGGATGATAGTCTTCTGAAAGCTGAGATAATTAAATCTGTCCCTCATTCTCTCAGGTTATCCTCCCCTCCTCCTCCTCCTCTTTCTTTTATCTTCTAAGGAAAGCACCTGCCAAGAAACCAGCACATACATATGCTCTGGATTCTGCGGTGCCCAGTGCATGCAAAGTTAGTTCACTTTGCCTTCCTTCTGGAAGAAAACTCTAGGTTTCTGAATTCTGGAGTGACTAGCCAGCCTGTCTTGTACTCCCTTACTATTAGAGCGAGACTAGGGTCCATTTATCATGCAAGGCCCTTCTTGGACACGCACAACTCAGAATTACAAATTTCTCCCTTCCAGAATGTGCTGTAATTCAGCATCCCGAAGAGAAGCTGCAGTAAATCTAATCCCTTCTGACAAAAGGATGTCATTGAGCCTGTGCTATTGGTTAAAAGAAAGGGAGGATTTGAGCCTGTCCTGAATGTTAAAGACTTCCATTGGTAACTGGTTAAGGGAAAATTCGAAATTGGGTTTTAGAGAACAATTGTACCTCTCCTAGAGGAAAAGGATTGCTATGAGCTATAGTTGGTGGTAGTGCCTATGTATTTATACTGATAGAACTGTGTATTTTTTCTCTTTCTGGATATTTGGATAGCAATCTAGAAGGGATATAAGAAGCAGTGCCTCTCAATTGGTATGCTGGTGCCACTAGGGCTTAAGATAAACTAGTCAATGTTCCAACTTGTTCCCAGAAACTGGTTGGAGTGTACAAGGGCCTTACTTGACACAGCTCAACTCAAAGCCTTCTTGCTCTGGAATAGGGTCCAGGACATAAGGGAAAGGATTTTCAGAGCCAGCCGGATCAGCAAGAGCCATGCAGCAAAAGATTGGCCTGATAGCTACAATGGTTATATGTCAATGAAGTCTTGATTTCAAATTTTCTCATTGCAAAACCAAGTGACCACATATATTTGTTCCTGGGATGGGGAGCTGATATGAAGGGCCACCTCTTCCAACATCCTTGGTCTTCAGGAATAGCAGCTGCACGTGAATGTTCTGGAGATGAGGGTAGTCCTGAATGCTCTGAAGACCTTTAGGTAATGTTTATCACAAAAAGTAGCAGAATCTTTCCTCTTGTATTTGGAAGCCCTGAAGACACAGGATTGGGCAGTGTTCCACAAAACACATCTGGTGGCAACTTATGTGGCAGGAATGAAAAAGTGAATTGCAGACAGCCCATGTCAATCAGTAGTGGACATATGAGTGCAGCCTTAGATAAGAAAGTAGTGGACCATAGGAAGTATGGCAAGAGACTACCCTAGCTTAACTAGGAGATCTTCATTGATCTGAAACTCAAAAAAGAGTCCTACAAAAATTGGAAACTAGGTCAAATTACAAAGGATGAATATAAACAAATAACACAAATATGTACGGACAAAATCGGAAACACCAAGGCACAAAACAGGATTAAACTAGCTTGAGACATAAAGAGAAAGATCAAGGACAGGGTAGGCCCCTTACTCAATGAGGGGGGGGGGGAACAATAGCAGAAATTGTGGAAATGGCAGAAGTGCTAAATGACTTTTTTGTTTGTTTTCACTAAAAAGTTCATTAGCAGTTGGACATCTAACTTAATGAATGCCAGTGAAAATGAGGTAGGATCAGCGGCTAAAATAGGGAAAGAACAAGTTAAAAACTATTTAGACAAGTTAGATGTCTTCTAATCACCAAGGCCTGATGAAATATGTCCTAGAATACTGACTGAGGAGATATCTGAGCCATTAGTGATTATCTTCAAAAAGTCATGGAAGATGGGAGAGATTCCAGAGGACTGGAAAAGGGCAAATATAGTGCCAGTCTATAAAAAGAGGAATAAGGACAACCCAGGGAATTACAGACCAGTCAGCTTAACTTCACTAGCTGGAAAGATAATGGAGCAAATAATTAAGCAATCAATTTGCAGATACCTAGAAGATAATAAGGTGATAAGTAAGTCAGTATGGACTTGTCAAGAATAAATCATGTCAAACCAACCTAATAGCTTTCTTTGACAGGGTAAGAAGCCTTGTGGATGGGGGGAAGCTATGGATGTGGTATATCCTGACTTTAGTAAGGCTTTTGGTACTGTCTTGCACGATCTTCTCATAAACAAACTAGGGAAATACAGCCTAGATGGAGCTACTATAAGGTGGGTACATAACTGGTTGGAAAACCATTCCCAGAATGTATTATCAGTGGTTCACAGTCAACCTGGAAGGGCATATCAAGTGAGGTCCCGCAGGGATCAGTTCTGGGTCTGGTTCTGTTCAATATCTTCATCAGTGATTTAGATAATGGCATAGAGAGTACACTTATAAAGTTTGCAGACAATACCAAGTTGGGAGGGGTTGCAAGTGCTGTGGAGGATAGGATTAAAATTCAAAATGATCTGGACAAACTGGAGAAATGGTCTGAGGTAAATAGGATGAAATTGAATAAGGACAAATGCAAAGTACTCCACTTGAAATGACTGCCTATGAAGGAGTACTGCAGAAAGGGATCTGGGGGTCATACTGGATCACAAGCTAAATATGAGTGAACATATTCAAAATCAAACATCATTCTGGGATCTGTTAATACAGTGGTCACCAATCGGTCGATTGTGATCAACTGGTCGATCCTGGAGACTCTCCCGGTTGATTGTGCTCTCCGGCGGCATAGCAGGGCTGCCGCTAAAGCAGGATCCCTGCCTGCCCCAGCCCCATGCTGCTCCCGGAAGTGGCCATCACACCCCTGTGGCCCTGGGAAGGGAGAGGGGGTCAGAGGTCTCCGTGCGCTGCTCCTGCCTGCAAGCATTGTTCCCCGCAGTTCCCATTGGCCAGGAACGGGGAACTGTGGCCAATGGGAGCTGCGGGGGCAGTGCCTGCATAGAGGGGCAACGTGTGGATCCACGTGTCCCTCCCCCTCCCCC